TTAGATATCTTTAGTTTTAGTTTACCAACATTTCTGTTTTACTTCTTAAAAACGTCCCTTAATATAGTCTTAAGTGATAAATGTGGTCACAACTGAAAACAGATTATTTCTTAAACCATGTCTTAGTTCTTTTTTACACAGTTTAGTAAAAAAATAGTTTTTTACCTGACATGTTTCAACTAATGTCTCTAGTCATCATCAGAGTCGCCGGTGTTGGTGGCGTCACTTCCAAAAAAACAAAAACATGTCAGGTAAACTTTACTAAACTGTGTAAAAAAAAAACAAAGAAGTAGATTACGAACACAAACACAGAGCGAACGTACAAAAGAAGATTTGTTCTTGTGACGGAAAAAAATCCAGCATGTTTTAGATTTACAGGTACATCAATGATGTGTTTTGTTGATGAGAGTCTGGCATCTGCCCTCCAGATGAACAACCTCCAAAGACAGATACAGACACATTAACGTTGAAATATGGCCTCTGTCTGAGTTCATCACATAATGTATGTCATAAAGAGAAGAGACGGGTCTAGAAAGTGTTTGCATCTTTGTCTATCTGCTAATAATATATGTCTACAGTATGAGTAGCAGTGTGTAATGCTTACATCGACATTTTTTTACCAAAAGAGCTAATAATGAAAATACTGTAGGTGAATGAGTGAATGAATCAGTTTGAAGGATTTGCTCCTTTTTGACAGCCATGTATCTGAGGCGTCTGCACACTTACCTCATCTCAACGAGGAAAAAGGTCACTCAGATTACTAAGAACTAAGAGTTCATTTGCAGAAAAAGATTAAAGGGGTGGCAAAGGAGTGAAGTACCTGACCCTTAACTGGAGGGTTGCAGGTTCCCAACCTGCTTAGTCTGTCATAGTTGTGTCCTTGGGTAAAACACTTCACCCTGCTTGCCTGCTGGTGGTGGTTGGAGGGACTGGTGGCACTTCTGCCAGTGAGCCCCAGAGCACCAGGGAGTGAATGGATGATTCACTAAAGCACTTTGTGGTCCTCTGACTTAGAAAAGCACTAGTGCAGGTCATTCATCATTCAAAAAAGTAAATAAGCTCAAATCAATAATTAAAAAATGCATATTGTCAGAGTTATCAGTGTTTATAACTGTGACTCTTCTGTTGTTAACCCATCTACTCCACCTGACTAGAGATAGATTCAATAATTATGAAACAGTAAAAGACTTTAGTAGTGGTTTAGGCATGAGAATTAAGTTAAAAAGGAGCTGAGCATAAAGGCAGACTGTTATAACATGAAAATAATGCATGTAATGTTTACTCATATTTACAAGTAATGCGAAAGCATCACTGAGAAAGCAAATCTAATTTGGATGATAACGTTCATGTGGGTTTTATTTAGTCATGTTCCATATTTTCATCAATACATTTCTGATGTTCAGAGTGGGACAATTAATCTCTGAGGTCGTTAACCTTGAGGTATTTACTAGGGATGTCCCGTTCCGATACCAGTATCGAGAGTAATACAAAAACACCGTATCGGATTATATCAGACCCCATCAAAAGTCTCAGATAGAAGATGTCCTTTTAGGTTCACATTTTTGCAACAAATAGTTAAAAATATTGTAATTTTTTTCATAGGCTGCAATATCGGTATCGTATCGGAAGTGAAAAAGAAGAATCGGGACATCCCTAATATTAACCTTTTAAAGGGAATTCACTTAAAGCTTCTTTCCAGAGTATTTCTCATATCCGATGGCACCATCTAGTGGCTGACAAGCATATCACACTCCTTCCGTTATTTTAAGACGGCAACTTCACATTTCTGTTTATAAATGTGCTTCTGTAGCCGAAAAACAGAGCTAAAAAACATTTTACAAGTATTATTCTCATGTCACGTTGTGTTCTCATATATTTATATTTTAGAGACTTACTTGTCCGTGAGAAGTTCATAAACTCTGCATCAGCCGAGGTATTCCTTAAATTTGAATCAAGCAAGCAGTAGTCTAACGCTATTGGTTAGTTCTAGTCGAGGCTCAGTTTCCTATTGCACGGAGCTCTGCGGGGCAGGGGGCGTGTGCAGCAAAAAAAAAAAGATGTATTGCTCATATTATATCACAGTACATGGTAAGATAATCACTTTTATGGATGTCTGACAAATCATGCATAATTTCTGAAAGAGGAAAACTCCAGAAAGATACTTTAACTACTTGAAAATGGAGGATATTCCTTCTTTAGCTCGTTTTTGTGGCGTTTACAGTTTGGACACCTCCAAATTGGTATTGGTCCAATGCTAGTGACAGTGCTGGTTTAAAAACAGTGTTAACAGTCATGTACTTGTCTGAAAATGTAACATGCAAATGCAGCTTGGAGCTTGGAGGATTAATCTGATTGTCAAACGTGTAGGACAGGAAGACTAGCAGAAAGTAGTAAAGCCGGCAGGCTGGATATGAAAGATGCTGCGAGATGAAGACCAAGCAGGCAGGAAAAATGAGAAGTGTAAGAAAACACAAAATGACAAAAGAGCTGCAGCATTCGGCAGCTGCTGCCAGGCAGATTAATGGACAGGAAGTCACAGTGATCAGCAAAAGGAGCTGCTGCAATCTCAACTAGTCAGAGATGATGAGAGAAGGCTCATGCAACAAATGTGATGGTTCAAATAATGAACTGATGTTTCTGTTTGTGTGTGCAGGTTGTGAAGATGTGGAGCACACTGTTCTTTGTCACGGTCCTGCTGTTCTCTATGAAAGGCGCTGATGCTCAGGGTAAACAGATCCTTTTCTTACCTCTCCATCTGAGGAGACGCCTGAATCCAAACATGTGACTCCCTAATGATCATATGCTGTACAAAACGTAGCTAACATCCCATCATGCCTTTTCTTCAGAAACCTTGGGTTGAAAATTTTGGCCATATCTTATTTTCCATTTCATTTAGAACAGTCTTTACAGTATAGAAAGCTGAAATGCCTTTGGGCCACCTGACAGTACATGCACACCCTCATTCATGTCAGGTATGCACAGACAAAGTAATTTATGTTGTCGTTTCATTTATATTAAACTTTATGATGAAAGGGAACCCACACTTCCCTTGTTCAGCAATGTGTTAGCGAGCCTTTCTGCCCGAGGAAGAACGCTGCTGTACGTCCTGTTTCTTCCTGATGTGGCGGCCTCTGTATAGCGTGTCGTCCTTAGGGGAGAGATTATAATCTAGAGCGAGATTAGCCACTGTGTCTCTGCTATGATAACGTATAGACTTGGCAGAGACAGCGTGTGTTTAACTGTTTACTTAATAAATAAACACGTATGCCAAAAATGATGAATGTTAAAAAATACTCATCTACAAGGTAGTACAGAGACCATAGAAGAGAGAGAGAGGGAGAGAAAGAGAGAGAGAGAGAGAGAGAGAGGGAGAGAGAGAGAGAGAGAGAGAGAGAGAGAGAGAGAGAGAGAGAGAGAGAGAGAGAGAGAGAGAGAGCTGACCCTTTTTCATCAAATCATTTCAAATTTGGGATTTCTACATGTCATCGCATTTGGGGGGGCAGTCAGTATTTTTAGGGGGGCATTGCCCCTCCTTGTCCATGCCTACATCCGGGCCTGGTAACTGATTTTTATCTGGGTCAAAACTGATGCTGGTCGACTTCAGGTATGAAACTTTTCCTCCGGTACTTTGTTCCCCCTCACTCTGTAGGGCCACCCACATTATTCTGGTGAAACCACCAGAGGTGTCACTGCTTTGCAAGTCACAAGTAAGTCACAAGTATGTCTCGAGTCAAGTCCAAGTCAAAGACAACGAAGTCCAAGTCAAGTCCAAGTCCTTGACTTTGATATTTGAAGTCATAATCAAGTCATCTGTCCAAACTTCAATTTAATGACAATGATAATAAATAAATTCCAGAATTAAAGCTTCATTTGTTTTTTGCTCAAACAAGCAGAAAGAGCAACTGAAACTGATTCTAAACAAAGTGCTGCTGCAGTTAGCAGAACAAGATCACACCCAGAACCAAGAAAGATTTATGATTTTTGTCCATGTCGCGCCACTTTTGTGCTAAAATATCAAATATGCTCAAGTCATCATCAAGTCAACTGATGCAAGTCGATTCAAGTTGCAAGTCATTGGCGTTCAAGTCCGAGTCAAGTCGTAAGTTTTTATAGATTTTATCAAGTCAAGTCAGAAGTCATTAAAATCATGACTCGAGTCTGACTCAAGTCCAAGTCATGTGACACGAGTCCACACCTCTGGAAACTACTGTACATTTTTAAAGCTCTCACCCCTCCTGTCAGCTCCCTCCCTTGTGCTATGTCCACCAGATACAAAAGACCCACGTTGCCAGAGGAAACAAGAGAGCGTTGATAACCAGTCGCCGTTTTCTAGGTCCAAACATCTTTTGTTGTCTGTGACTTCAAATGGTGTTTTTCTTTTTTGAGACTCTGGTAGTTTGTCCTAAAGTTAAAGTGGTAGCAGCCGGCTGTTTCTCAACTTCTCACACCAGAGGTGTTCTGTTGCCACGTGAGTGCATAATGATTGGAGGACCCAGGCAGGTGCGGTGGTTTGGAGTGACAGATGGCCCAATAGTTGGTTTCGGACCAAGCTGTGTCTTTGGCTGAGGTTTTAGGCAGATGCAAGTCAACCCCTTGTTTTAATTTCCCTTTGTTCTTTTTTTTTCATCTTCACAAAATATTTATAGCTTTACTATGTTAGAACTTTGTTAGCTTGTTTTGCAGATTTGCTATTGTAGCTTTAGTCAAAGAGTTTACATAACCAGCAACATGTGAATTATTTTAACCATAAATCATACAAACAAACGATGATCTGCATTACAAATAAACTGACAGTCACAGTTTTGCACAAAGGCTGTTGTTGTTTTAACGTGCCCGATTCAGCAGTTTTAAGATTTTGTCACACAACAACTTGCTGGACGATTATCGTATATTATTTGTTCTTCAGTTTTTAGTACTGATTTTAAAAATTGCTTGAACTTTGGTAGTTAGTCATCATGACAAAAATTCCCCTGGTAAAGCTGTGAAAAGATGTCTATTCCACACAGAGGACGAGTGTGGATACTCAGAGAGCACCATGAGGGGCGGGACTAGCCAGCTCAAAAATAAACAATCAGAAAAAAGGCAGAAATGACGACTATCATGCCAAAGTGTTGTCATGACAATAATTACCCTCTCATGTGTGTGTACACCAAGAGAAGATAACTTCAGTTTATATGCAGGGATAAGCTGGTAAAAACGGTAACCTGTGATTTATTTCATTCACCCATCCCACACGTTAAAACAAAATAAAACACAAGAAACGATCAAATCTCAGTAAAAAAAAAACACAAAAGTAATATTTTTTCACAGAAAATGCTTTTCTTAATTTCAATGTTCTGATTGATCATCCCTTTGCAGGCAGGTGTGATAACGCACAAGCAGCAGATATAGTTTTCCTGATAGACGGCTCCTCTAGCATTGGTCGAGCCAACTTCCTGCAGGTGCAGGGTTTCATGGCTGACATCGTAAAACCCTTTGTGAGCGCCGTCAGCGAATCGGGGATTCGGTTTGGGGCGGTGCAGTACAGCGACACTTCAAGGTGATGGACGAGACTGACAAAAACTCCACTTCTCTTCTGCAGGGGCAGGTCTAACTCATCATTGCTATTGATTTTCCGTCAGGGTTGAGTTCATCTTCAACAGATACCTGAATGGCACTGACCTCGTCAACGCGGTGGAGCGTATACCCTACAAAGGTGGAAACACGCGCACTGGAGCAGGTCTCAAGTATGTCTCGGATAACTTCTTCAATCCTGCATCCACTCGGGACGTCCCAAAGGTCTGAGGGTCATGTTTCATTCTAATGCACTGGTTTACTTAACAGAGCAGGTGTTTTAATGTGCTTGTGGGCCCTCTGACTATCAGATCACCATCCTGATCACAGATGGGAAATCACAAGATCGTGTGCAAGAGCCGGCACAGAAGCTACGCAGTCAGGGGGTGAAGGTTTTTGCAGTTGGTATGTTTTACTATCTGGGATATCTCTGTCAGAAGTAAACACCGCTTTTAATATATATTTTCTTTTCACACACCTTTAAGGTATAAAGAATGCAGACAGAAAGGAACTGGCCCAGATTTCCTCCCAGCCCAGCAGTGATTTCACCTCCTTTGTTGGGGACTTTAGGCTCTTATACACACTTGTTCCTCTTGTTAGCCCTCAAGTGTGTTCAGTAGCAGGAGGGGTATATGCAAGTGATGGTAGGTGGGGTCGCCACAGCCCAACAGCACGTAAAAATCAGTGACAAACACAGACCTGTCTTCTGTCTCTTTAGAGGCATCTTCTGGTCCGTCCAATATTCAGTTCACAAGTCAGACGGCCGACTCTCTCCGGTTTCGCTGGAGTCCTGCAGGAGGCCGAGTGAGTGGCTATGTGATCCAGTATGTGCCACTCACGGGTCTGGGTCAGCCCATCGTAACTGAAATGCTCCAGGTGAGACCAGTTGTGTGGGATTTTGAGTGAAATCAACACAACCTTGTGCTGTTTTTTCCTTCTATTGATGTGAACGGGCAAGAACCTTTGGATAAAACCAACATATGTTGTGTTTTGGATGCTGGTGCAGAATGGGAGGCTGTCAATTGGATTCTGGATATGCTAGATCAGCATCCTATCCTGGACCAACATGCTGGACCAGAATCCAAAACACAACATATACAGTTTTTTTTCAGCAGGGAAAGTAAGTAATCCATCACCGTCATACTAATTTCCAACCTTCTTTATAAGTACAAGTACAATCATGTTGATCGATAATAAAGTCATGGTCATTCATTGTTCACTTGAGCTAAGTTTTTCATCTTCATTTAGTTATATTTTTATGGGATCTATTAAGAAGTATAGACTTGGATTGCCAATGGAATATGTATTGAAATGAACACAAGTTTTCTTAACATGTAAAGCTCCAAATGTCCACATAAAATGAGGTTTATAATTATTGCGTGTGACCCGATTTGACCCTTCCTGCAATTCAATTCAATCTGAATTGTCATCTGCCATGTTTGTTTATTCTGGTGTCTTGTTCTGTGGAGTTCTGAGGACCCTGTTTTCTCTGACAGTTTAACACAGGGGTCGGGAACCTTTTTGGCTGAGAGAGCCATGAAAGCCATATATTTTGAAATGTATTTCCCTGAGAGCCATGTATATATATATATATATATATATATATATATATATATATATATATATATATATATATATATATATATATATATATATACATATATAGGAAGGGTCAAATCGGGTCACACACGATTATTATAAATGGTAAATGGCCTGTATTTGATATAGCGCCTTCTAGAGTCCTGGAACCCCCCAAGGCGCTTTACAACACAATCAGTCATTCACCCATTCACACACAAATTCACACACTGGTGGGGATGAGCTACAATGTAGCCACAGCTGCCCTGGGGCACACTGATAGAGGTGAGGCTGCCGAGCACTGGCGCCCTCGGTCCCTCCGACCACCACCAGCAGGCAACGTGGGTTAAGTGTCTTGCCTAAGGACACAACGACAGCGACAGACTGAGCGGGGCTCGAATCTGCAACCTTCCGATTACGAGGCGGGCACTTAACTCCTGTGCCACCGTCGCCCCTCAATTTATGTGGACATTTGGAGCTTTACATGTTTAGAGAACTTGTGTTCATTTCAATACATATTCCAGAGTGGAGGTTAGAAGAAGAGGGTATTTGTAACCTCCCCCTCGCCTCGCATGTTACAACGTTCCCCTTGCTTGGGCGGCAAATCCGAAAATTCACAGTCAGAATGCATGGGAAACAAACGATTGGTTACTGTAAGAGTAACGTTTTAGGTAGCAAGAGGGTTAAGGTTAGCATGAGGGTGAGGGGAAGGTTAATAATAGCAAAACGTTAAGATTTAGGTGCGGGTAAATGAGCTAGTTCGGTGCCGCAGCAGCGGACATCCCATTGCATCAGTTTTATGTTGCATTAGGATCTGCAGTCAGAAAGGAGAACCCCCCTTTTCGTACATAAGTGACGAAAAAGGGCACGTTTTGCATCAGGGGTTTGATGCGGAGGGTGGCTGACCAAGCGCTTGTTTTTGATGCGCTGGGAGTGAGTGTGTTGCTCAAACAGGTGCGGTAGAAAATGGATGGATGTTAAAGTGCACGAGAATTTTTTTTGTTTAACACTGTGGTTTCTGTGAATTATCTGAGAGCCGTATGCAGTCAGCTAACAGCTAAGCCACTGGCACCTAGATCGGAGATTTAGCAGAAAGAAATGAGCTACTGGAAAGCGCCGCCATTTCTGTTCAGGATATGTAATCATGCAACAATTTGGTATGCTAGCTCACATAGCTGGCTCGGCTTTGGCTAAGAACGCACGATTTGTGTAAATAGAGGGGTGTGTGCAGAGGGGAGGAGAAACCATCAGAGCTTGATGGGTGGATCATGATCCAGTCATTGAGAACAGGATAGTCACAAAGACTGGATAAAAATTTTACAGAATTGTAAGTGTCAGAGGTGATTAAAATCATTCATGATTTCACAAAATATTTAATTTATTGGTTGATGTTGATAACTGAGGAGCTTTTCTAACAATCTGGTCAAATATGCTGCAGAAAAGAATCTACCCTGCCTTTAAGGAAACCGCTGTAAACTGGTTTACACAGAGTTTGGCTCTTTAGTGGTGATTAAAACACATGATGGTATCAATTATGAAAATAGTATTATAGTAGCAGTACATGCCAAGCCTGTACAGGATAAGAGAGAAAGAAAATTATAACATAGTTTGAAGCGAATCTAAACATCCTGACATTTTCTTGTGATTATTTGACCTGATGCTGATTCACTAAAATGTAAAGCAATCCATTTAGAGTGGCTGATGGACGCTGATGTTCTCCTCTTTATTGTAAACTGTAGTGAGGGTCTAGCTCCTTCATGCCAGGCATCTCTTGTGTTGACACATGGAGATGGGAACAGCACACTCATCCTAGACTCAAGTATTTAATTGTGCTTTTATGATCCAAAGCCATCCTCGCTTAAAGAAACATGGATTGAGGCTGAGTACAAACATGTCTAATGGGTGGATCCCCTTCATGTAGACACTGCAGAGATTAAAGCATGGCAGACTCATATTCTGTGTACCTTGGCACCCACTCTAATGATGGAAGATTCCAGCTTTTTTTAGCCAGACGCTCTAGTTTGATGTGATATTCACCGATACGACATCTATCTTCTCTGCAGGAGAGTGTTTCAGCCACCCAGAGGACCTTTACTGCACGAGGACTCCGGTCAGGAACAGACTACATGGTGACCGTCATTGCCCAGTACCCCAACAGCGTGGGAGAGTCTACCTCTGCTAAGCAGAAGACCAGTGAGGAACAAGCGACCATAGAAAATATCAGAGAGTCACTACATAGACAACACTAATTCTATCACTGTTTTCCATACAGGGTCATTGCCTGGTGTCTCCAGCCTCCGTTTGGTCCAGGCAGGTTTCTTCTCTCTCTCCATTGGATGGGATCAACCTTCGTCTCCTGTGCAGGAATACAAACTCACCTATGGCCCTCGAGGTCAGGCTCACATCCACGTCTGCTTCTAAATTGCACTTCAGTTAAAGCTTACATTAAATAATAATTAGCTCTAATTTTTGTCAAACTTTCTCGCCTCAGACTCTGATTTTAAGATGAACCAAGTCAAAACGGTTAACTTGTTGGTGGCAAGTTGAAACCATGTGAAGAATGTGTTTGGGTAGAGTCTGAATATGAGTTTCTCTAACGCCAAACTCCCCCCAGGCCAAGCGCGTTCGCTGTGAGTGATTCCTACAGCTTGCATTACTTATCTAAAACCTCAGACACATTTCTGCTCACCAGCTGCTCAACCGGACCAAATTTAACCCATGTCATTGGACTGTTGGCAATTAGAAATTTAATCATGACATTTCTGAAGCCAGGGTGTGTCGGGAGGCATGGCTGGTGTTTACACCATGATTCAGGAGGGAAAATTGCCACCTGAGGGCTGATTCATTTTCTCCCACACTGAACATGTGGCAGGAGAGTCTCATTCCACTGCTGGAGGAAACACCTTCTGAGAGTGATCATGGTGTATTCAGGAGACAGGTAGACCCTCACATTTTTTTTTTGTTTCAGAGTAGACTAAAATAGATCACTCGCCCTCTCCCCCCAACTCACGTCATTCTATGGGTACACCAAATAAACACGAGGAGTGATGGGCTTCATAACACTTAGGACAAAAAGGTTGAGATCTACGAGTATTTTTACTTTCTAGAAAGCAATTTTTTTTTGGTTTGATCAAAACTTTCTGGAATTTGGATTGATTTGCATGTAGAGATGCACCAATATGATAACCATTATTTACGATTTTAAATATATTCCTACACACACACACACACACACACACACACACACACACACACACACACACACACACACACACACACACACACACACACACACACACACACACACACACACACACACACACACACACACACACACACACACACACATATGTATCAATCAATCAATCAGTCAATCAATCTATCTATCTATCTATCTATCTATCTATCTATCTATCTATCTATCTATCTATCTATCTATCTATCTATCTATCATCTATCTATCTATCTATCTATCTATCTATCTATCTATCTATCTATCTATCTATCTATCTATCTATCTATCTATCTATCTATCATCTATCTATCTATCTATCTATCTATCTATCTATCTATCTATCTATCTATCTATCTATCTATCTATCTATCTATCTATCTATCTATCTATCATCTATCTATCTATCTATCTATCTATCTATCTATCTATCTATCTATCTATCTATCTATCATCTATCTATCTATCTATCTATCTATCTATCTATCTATCTATCTATCTATCTATCTATCTATCTATCTATCTATCTATCTATCTATCTATCTATCTATCTATCTATCTATCTATCTATCTATCTATCTATCGTCTGTCTGTCTGTCAGCAGTTATGATTTTAATACCTTAGAAGCTTCTGAATTCATGAACAACAGTGATATTGCTGCCCCAGGAAGAATTGGACAGCAGTAGCTCAGGAGGTCGATCAGGTTGTCCAGTAATCAGAAGGTTGCAGGTTCAATCTTGGCTCTGACCAGAGAATGCTGCTGTTGTGTCCTTGGGCAAGACACTTAACCTACGTTGCCTGCTGGTGGTTGTCGAAGGGACCGGTGGCGCCAGTGCTCGGCAGCCTCGCCTCTGTCAGTGCGCCCCAGGGCAGCTGTGGCTACATCGTAGCTCATCATCACCAGTGTGTGAATGTGTGTGTGAATGGATGAATGACTGATTGTGTTGTAAAGGGCCTTGGGGGGTTTTAGAACCCTAGGAAGTAGCTATACATACTCAGACCATTTAACATTTTTTTTTACCATCCTTAAAAAAACATGAAATATTTTCAGGGTCATGAAATAATGAGCAGAACTGCAGTTGTTTACAGCTGAACTCTGCACATCCATAATTCAAACAACACATTAGAATCAAAACTTCAGAACAATCAAGCAAAAGAAACAGACCAACCTGTGTCAGATTAAATCAGATCCTACAAGTAATCCTGCATTTTACTGTGTCCTGTAATCCTACTGGATGAAACATAAATGCCTATTGATCATGGGCTGTATTCAGTCATCTTTCTTCTGCATGTCCACTCACTCCATTTGTCCTTTTCATTGATTAGGTCAGCCTGAAGCTCAGCTACTGGAGCTGTCCCTGTCTGCAGACGCCACGTCTACCACCTTGGACTCTCTTCAGCCGGACACAGAGTACGTCATCAACCTCTACCCTTCCTTCCCCAGAAACACTGCGCCCCCCTCTGTCCTCAACGCCCGAACATGTGAGTCCATTATGCATACTACAGTAATGCACATGCTGATGTTGAAGGATGAGCTGAATAAGAATGGGAGGCTTTTTAGAACAATTATTAAAATGCTCTGATGTGTGTGTGTGTTTCAGTGCGTCTGGAGGGTGTCCAGCAGCTGTCAGTGGACACATTGTCAGAGGACAGTGTCCGTATTAAATGGTCACGAGTTAGCGGGGTTCAAGGATACCGTTTGGTTTGGGGACAGTTCACAGGTAGGAACACAGAACAGCTACAAAAATATATCTTTTAAAGCATTTTCATGTAAATGTCTTTTTCCTCTATAAATTAGGCCGTGATGTTGAGACTGTGGACGTTCCTGGTGACCTTGAGTTCTATGCCTTGACGAGGCTGCAGCCTAACATCGAATACATCGTCACCATCATCCCACTGTACGAGCAAAACATCGAGGGGCCCGCAGCAACGGCCAGATTCAACCTAGGTATGATTCACCCAACAGCTTTACAGCAATGCTCCACCAGAAAATTCTAAAAATAAAACGTACGTTTGGCCCAGCACAAAGCAAAAGTGGTCAAGTTAAAACTAAAGAAAAAATAAAAACTGCAAAATTACCGTAAATCCTCTAATACATGTCAGGGTCTATATTTACTCAAGCGCACCCTGGTTACGGCCTTTATTGGAAGGAGGCCAGAATTAGAAGCAGGCCTCAGTCCTCCATTTGATTAAAAGATTATAGATTCGTTTTTGATATTTCATTTATTGCAAATATTACAAAACATAAGTAATAGCATTGTGACTGAATGTAAAACAGCATTTCAAACAAAAATTTCAGATGCCCTAAATGTGTTAAGATGCATTTTCAAGTTACAATATGATGATTTCCCTTAAAGTGAAAGTGTGTATTTTCCCTTACGATAGGGGGCAGCAGAGACCTAAATCATTGCAAGCAAGCAGTATTTTATGTTCAAGTAAGACCTTACCAACGAACGGCCATTAGGGTCAAAAATCCCTGAGAGCTCTATTTTCAAACATGTACTTTGTCAGATCGTTCAACCTCCAGCAAATGACAATCACATCAGACTACATTTACTACACTTTCATCAACAAGGGAAGAGGTAAATGTGTAAAACAACAATGTTTATGAATGGCAAAAGTTTCCTAACTGTGTGTTACAAATCAGTAAATGCAATTTATCCTCACAGGCTCCCGTAGAAGGAAACACAGCATCTAATATGGCGTCTCCCAGAGACTTAGACCCACTCCCGTGTATTTTAGACCTGATTTTTATGGTTATATGTTACAAAGCAACCAATGTTTTTCAACAACTGGGCAAAATTGTAATAATTTTCAGCAATATTTCAATGTATGCTTCTAGAGAAGCAAAAAACTACAAATAGTCTCTTCAAGTAATAATAAAAAAGTTTTAATGGTAAACAAACTGACAAATTCTGTTGCTGCCCCTAAAATCTGACTTCTGTATATTTTACAACAATGTGGTCATGTATCTGTTTATTTCCTTGTCTTTATTTGATCATATCTTATCCTCTAGATAAAATCTCATCTCAGTGGCTATGATACCCATCTGACAGCTGTTAGTGATCCAAGTCAGGGAATAAACTCAGAGACGTTGATCGCTTCCTGTTGTGTGAACAGGAAGCAGAGGGAAACAGCAGGTTCATTTAGGGAACATTTACACACACACACACACACACACACACACACACACACACACACACACACACACACACACACACACACACACACACACACACACACACACACACACACACACACACGCGCACACACACACACACACACACACACAGTTCTGGTGTGAACACACATGGTGATGCCTGGGTCAAGTCACTGTAGTCCCATTGTTATAACAATAACAACATGTGTGCCACATACATATGTATGACTGCAGGGTCTGTTGAAAGAAAAACTAAACCACATCCTTTTTAAGTTTATCTCCTTGTGCAGTGTGTTTGGTGTGTGTGAACCTTTAGAGCACATACCATGAAACACTACACACAAGATAAATATGTTTATTAATGGTTAATATATCATGCATGTCCAGTTTTGGTTAATTTTATTCATGTTAAGCCAGATTTATGAGTTTTAGTTTGTTGTTGTTTTATTTGATTGACTTCCTGTTTTATTTTGTAGACTTTATTCTTTGTTCTGCCTTCCTGTCTTATCTGAAAGTTTTATTATGACCCCAGTTGAACACACTGGAGCTTTGTCTTCATTAGTTCAACTCAATAAAACCTAAAACTCCACATAGAAATTCAATGTTAAGGTTTTTTTTCTTCCGAAATTCAGGCATTCATCTTGACTCTCAGCACATCTGAGCCCTGATCTCCCGGTCCCAGGGCGGACACTCAACAGGCTAATGATTGTTTTATTCTTTTCAACAATTTAACTAGAAAATAAAATCTGTCCCTGAGTAAACTTTTATTGTAGTTGATAAAAATGGGATCAGCATCTGATTGTTTCCGAAGACGACAGCAGAGTTTGGACCCTGATGATCTGACATTCGTTTACAATATTCCAGATTTTAGAATATTCCTGAAACATCCAGGATCTGACAGAACTATGGTCACATAGAAGTGTATTATTATAACAGCATCGGTGCCTTTCACACACAGTCAAGCCCAGACTCTTAGCTCATTCATCATCTCTGTTACCATGGTGATTGAGCCACGCCAAAGCTCCAACTTTCAACTTAACAAAGTGACTCAAACAGGAAATTTGGCTTCAGTGTACATCCCTCTGGCCTTTGTTATTGATCAGAACCGCAGACTTTCATTCAGTAATAGGTACATGTGTGTGTGTGTGTGTGAGTTCATGTCGTGTCGTGTTTTACTTTGGTTCTGAGGTTTTCCTGCAGTAGCAGCAGCTTTTATTTTCTTTGTTTCTAGAAATCCATCTAGTGTCCTCAGCAGCGGTTTGTCTGCTCCTCCTACCGGCTGATGGCAGATCCAGCTCAGCTAACGCGTGTGATCCAAGGATTTTACCATTAGATTATGAAAAGTTATGTCTGCAGGTTGCGACAGAGAGTCAACATTATATTTCCTTACGTGTTTTAATTGACATTTGTTTTTGTATAATTATCAGTTGACACAGTGTGTTTAAAAGAAACTGACACAGGTGTTTCTGGATTTATATTAAAAGTTAGAATTCAAACCCTAAATTTGCTCAGTGGTATCTCTGGAAAAACGGCTCTCCTCAAACAGCTTGTGTTGATGAAACAAGAAGCATTTATAATGTTTTATTTACCGGCTCTTGTTGCGTTTCCCTCAGATCTACAAGTACAGGACCTCAGACCAGTCATCACTGGACCGTCTTCCATCCGGCTCAACTGGAGGCCCGTCGAGTCTGCGAGGGGGTACCGCCTGGAGTGGCGGGAGCGCGGAGGTCAGACCATCATTCTACATCTGAAACTTTTATTTTTCCTTCTAATTTGTTAAACGCACATAAAGAACATTTCTCTAAAATCCAACAGTGCTGGCGGCGCTGATGGCTATAGTTATGATCCCAGTCTGAAGGGCTTTAAATGTCAGCAGTTTTATTTAGTTTGTGTCCAGATTGTCACCAGGAAGCTTCATATGAACACATCCTGGTGTTCTGTGTGAGAGCTTCACAGCCTGAAGCTCCAGGTACTTTCTGAGTTACACTTTGTTTCAGGTTTGACCCTCTGAGCTAAATTTCAGCATTTCTGAGCTTCTTTAAAAGCCAACACCTTTCCTCACTTTCTACTAAATTAGTTTTGGATTTGAACTGAACTCACAAAACTAATGCAGCCTTGTGTTGAAAATAATAAATATTATTTGTATTTATCTCTTTGTAATTGTAACTTGTTTTTAGTAAATGCTGTAATATGTTCTCACCGTAAATTCATTGCTTTTAGCGGAGATGCTGCAATCCGATCAAGTGATCGGAAATCGGGCCGATCACGGGACTTTAAACGCATCGGGAGAAAAATAATCAGATTTAACCTATTAACACAACAAACATGACTTACTGAATTCATTCTGAGATAGAGATTTTCAAATGAAGTAACAATGGCTTAGCTTTCATTTCAACAAGTTCTTCTGTTTGTTTCTTGAACGAAAACAACAAGGTAGCGTCACACAATTTACGGCAAGGGCTCGGACACCAAAGTGCAGCTGTTAGCAACAGACTACTTTCCTTTCTGGTGTTAACAAAGCAAACCACAGGTCTCCATTAAATCCCAGTTTGCCACTAACAGTCCCAGAACTCAGACAAAACACGGATTCAGCTGACAGAGACATATATGCTAATGAACAAAGAGAAATTGCCAAACGTCGTTAGCTTTAGCTGCAGGGGAAAGTTAGCTTGTCGGCCGAGGTTCCGTCACGGGAACACAGCTGCATATTGAGGGAGTAAACAACAACTTTTTTAGTTTTTAAAAGTGTGCATGAATATTTTTTTATTCCAGGATTGAATATCTGTTTTATTTTAGACAGAAGCATAACTATTCTTAATTTCATCAAGCAAGATGGATATATTATAGGTGTGTAAATGTGAAATAAGCTGTCCAGAATTTTTTTTATTTCATTTTTCATTTGACTTTATTTATAAAGTCCCTTCCACAACCGTATCGAATGCCCAAGGTGCTGAACAATGCAACAATACAACGAGCAACAAGAAATACATAAAAAAAAACAGCCATAGAAACATAAACACCAATAAAAAGACGACGTTGCGTGATGGACACTGAAGCCGCGCTATGACATCTGCTGTTAGAAAGTCGTAACATAGAAACACGTCTTCAAACGGGATTTAAAAAGCAGCAAAGAAGGTGACTGGTGGAAGGTTAAAGGAAGGAAGAAATGAATATTTGTCTCATTCTGGTTAAAATAACAGAACAAATAATCACCTAATTCAGTAAAAACTGAATGAAGGTTAGAAAATGACAAATAGATCAGAAATGACTCAGTGGACCTAATTATTTTATTCAAGCTGAAATCTCTAAGACTTTATGAGACCAATGTGGTTCTTATTGTATATTTTTCCATTAAAACACTCCAGGAGGTGCAGGTGTGAATTACTGATGTGATCCTTATTTATGCACAAACTGTTTAAGGGAATCATTACTTTTATAATCACGTTTGTTGGTGAATGACTCTGTTTGTCTATTAGGCCGTATTTAATAGCTGAATTTTAAACATGTAGTCTTGATTCCTCTCACAGGAAGCCGTGTCCAGAGCCTTTCTTTCCCAAAAGGCACCGTCAGCTACGAGCTGACGGGGCTTCAAATACAAACAAAATACGACTTCACCATCTACACACTGTATGAAGGTCGGGAGGTGGCCACGCCCGTCACCACCGTAGAACTAGGTCAGTACTCTGTTCATAAACCTGTCGTAGAATTGTCTAACATGTGAATAGCTTATTTAGAGGTTTTAAGATGATAAATGCTTTTATTTTGCAGAGAAGCAGCCAGTGGGAAGTGTATCCAACCTGAGGGTGGTGGAGTTTCTGGGCAGCACCGTCAGACTGGGCTGGACGGGCGTAGCTGGAGCCACGCAATACCGGATCCTCATCCGTAACACAGATGGTGTGTTTATAATCAACTCATTAATGCTTTTTATTCCTGTTTCTAACGTAATTAAACCGTGACTGTGGGTTATTTTTCTGCATGTCAGATGGAACAGAAAATATCCAAATTATCCCTGGAGATCAAACGACCCTTGACCTCAGGGACCTGATAGGGGGCGTGTCATATGGCATCAGTGTCACAGCAGTAGTGGGAGAGTTTGAAGGGAACCCCGTGACCGTCTTCATCAAATCAGGTGAGCTGATCTTTAATCATCACTTGGAGTTTTTTAATATTTTTTTTACTTTTCCAGTTTTTTTCATCACCTGTAAATATCCTATGTGTAGGTAGGATCACCTGGTTCACGAGTTAGTGCTTTTCCTGAGTTCATAAGGACCTGACTGTACTTTGTTTTCATCCTTTTGTCATTTTGTTGCAGAAGAAGGTGTAGGAAGAGTGACCAATCTCAGAGTGACAAACATTAACAGTCGGCGCGTTCGCATTGCCTGGGAAGGCGTTACTGGGGCAACAGGGTACAGGGTTACATGGACACAAGGCAACAGTAAGAAACATGAGCATCATTTAAAGGATCCTGTACATTTTAGGTTTTAAATGAACCTTTACAAAACCAGCTTCAGATTGAGAGTTCGTATGTATGGATTCATCTGATTTGAGCCTTGCACTCATTTTCTCGGGCACTTATAATATTTTCCGCTCTGCAGAGGTGGATCAGTCTCCTCTTCTTGGAGCCGAGGATGCAACTTTCACTATAGACAACCTGCAGCCGGATGAAGCCCTGGTAATTGGCGTTGCAGCTATTGTTGATCAGCGTGTCGGAGAGGCCGTCACGCTGACTACGCGGACTAATCCCATTACCGGGGCTTTGGCTGGACTTCGCATCACAGAAATCTCATCCCGGGCGATACGCCTTGCATGGTCACCTGTTTCCAGGGCGACAGGATATAAGATCACATGGCGTCTTGATGATGGTATGGACATATAATTTAGGAATAATCCTTTAGGAGTGTTTCAGATACACACGCCTTAGGATTAGGAAAAGATGAGTGTGAAGACATCTTTTGTTTTTTATGCAGAAGCTGAAACGACTGATATTGTTGCTGATAATGTCTCCTCCTACACCATTGATGGACTTCAGCCAAATTCAGCCTACACTATCCACGTTTCTCCTCTGATTGGTTCTCGAGAGGGAACCCGTTCTGTTCTAAATGTCAGGACAGGTAATTCAAAGAATGTTTCCAATAACTGGCGATGGTTCTCAGTCATCCAGGTCATGGTAACCCAAAGGGGTTCGAATGAAGGCAAATGGACTTTTGTTGGTTTCTTGAAGACATTTCACTTCTCATCCTAGGAGCGTTGTCAATGCTGACTGGAAAATGGGAGGGCCTAGACAGTCTTCTGCATCTAATCAATACAACAATTTCCACACAATAGAAGCTAACGACTCCAACGACTCATCAGGGGGTAGAAAGGGGGCATTCATAGGTAGTTTCTGCTCGTTAAACAACAACAGATAACTACAGTTTATAAGCTTGACTCTCCCGTATTCCAGTCAGAGTCTACAAAGCTCCTCGCATGAGAAGTGAAACGTCTTCACAGAACCAAAGAAGTTCATTTGCCTTCATTTGAACCCCTTCAGATTACCATGACCAGCATTGGTGTTTTTAAGAGTAGGTCTACTGTAAAATCCAATAAGATCTACTCAACATGCTATTGAATTTTGTTTTGTTCCAACTTGCAGAAAAAAGTCTGACATATGTTGGAACTGTGACGTCTTTGCAAGTCCACGAGTCCCCAGGAAAGGTCGTTAGAGTCACTTGGGTTGGTGTGCAGGGAGCAACAGCTTATCGAGTCTCTTGGAAAAGAAGAGATGGTGATTATTTTTTCCAGTTGACTTTTTATTTCTGATATCTATCACTTTTTATTCGACTTCCCCAAAACTTGGATTCCTTTCTTACAGGTAAAACGAAGTCCTAGACAAACTCTATTAAACTAAGAAACTTGTTTCCTCTCTGACAGTAAATCTATATCCTTCACAAACACTCACACCCCAGCTCATATCCACTTCACTGACCTCCTCTAGTACCACACTGCGTAAGGAAACGTTACTCTGATGCCAAATTTCTGTCTGGAGCCCTCACAGCAGAACCCTGCAGCTGGGCCGAATGCTGCCCCAACGGACCAGACCAATATTCTTCTGTGGTGGTGCTTAAATGAAGCTCTTCTCTAATGCATGCTCTGCAGAACTGGGCTATTGACCAGCAAAGACCCTTAAGAACTTATGAAGTTAGACTCTTATGTTTTTGTGTAGGTGGGGAAGAGAGGAGCCAGTTGGTAGGTGGAAGTTTGACAACGATGGAACTGGACCAGCTTGACACTGGAGCTGAGTATGAGGTGCAGGTCATGGCTTTGGTTGACAACATAGAGGGGCCGCCCGTTTCTGTCAGCATCACCACTCGTGAGTCCTGTGTTTGTGCAGTCTGAGGAAACTTCCCCGAGCAGAAGTTCATATAAATCATGAATATTGTCAAATCTTTTAAACCACCAATATTACTGTGTCACCATTAAACATGCCAACATCATTGTGTTTATTAAAACAGCTGGTTTTGATACACCTCCTCCCTCACTGCCAACCACAACGTTACGAGTGACAGAAGTTACCCAGAATTCTGTTCGGCTTGGTTGGGCTTATCTTCCAGGTGCCACAGGGTATGTTCTCCACTGGAAGGAAGAGACAGGTGAGAAATCAGTTCACAATTTTAGCCTATAATTGTACATTTAGACATTTGGTTAGAATGGGTTTTATCTATGATCCTGTCAGATATTGGTCGTGGTTTGTCTGTCGCTCTGCCGGCGTTGTCCACCTCCTACCTGGTGGGCGGTCTGCGTCTGGGCCGCCGATACAGATTCACCATACAGCCCTCCTTTTCCTCTGGATTGGCAGGAGAGACCTTTATAGATGAACGCACTGGTAACACACGCCCATAATCCATCACGTTCCTGTTAGCACCTGCTGTTTACTCACCTTTCCAGGCTGTTTTCTCTGCAGTGTGTCTCGGTGGACGGCTGGATGTGGTGTTTCTGCTGCCTGCATCTACTGACCGAACCAATTTGGCGAGACCGCTGCGGGAACTCCTCCTGAGTGCAGCGGGGTCACTCGCCACTATCGGAGCCCGTGATTCACAGGTACTTTTGCAAGAATGATAAAATTGAAGCATGACAAGTTTGACAACTCTAAGATTTGAGTTAAAGGTCTCTCGTTTTAAAGCAAAAAATAAGAATTTTGTTTTTATTTCTGAGGTTGGGGTTGTGGTTTATGGCATCAGACCCAAAATTGGGTTCCGGCTCAACTACCACGACAGATCTGACACCCTGCTCCAAGAGCTCGGGTCTATACCCTTTGATGAAAGCCCAGGAAATAACATTGGTCAGTCTTTTTTCCTGTTCTTTTTGTGTCAACACTAACTATTGCATCATGGAAGTTGTGACGCCAGCTCTTTTCTCTTTTAGGTGAGGCGTTGACATTCACCCGTCAGGCCCTTCTGAGCTTGTCAGCTGGACGGAGGCCTCGGGTGCCTGGAGCCGTCGTCATCATCGCTGACAGAAAATCAGCGGACAATCTGACCCTCGCAGCAAACAGTCTAAGATCTACAGGTATGAAGCGGCACATCAGTCATCAATAATTCTCTGTTTAGCTGCAGCAGTGTTGTTCAGAATTTAAACAACAATGCAACACCCAATGTTACAATCAAAAATCAAAGAAATGCCTTAGATCTGTGGCACACAAGCCTCTGTGTGTGTGTGTGTGTGTGTGTGTGTGTGTGTGTGTGTGTGTGTGTGTGTGTGTGTGTGTGTGTGTGTGTGTGTGTGTGTGTGTGTGTGTGTTAAGGTGTGACGGTGCTAGCTGTGGGGATTGACCAAGCTGACAGGGAGGAGCTGCGTTGGGCGGTGACGGATCGCAGCACCCAGAACATCCTTTATGCTCCAAATGCAGCTCAGCTGAACACTCTACACGCTGAACTGGCAGACCTGCTTTGTGGGATCGCCAGAATACCAGAGGTGAGAAATAATCTGGATTAACAGTCAAACATGTTCACGAAGCTTTTGCATAAAATCCTTCTCCCATGAGTCGTCAGAGCTCTGTCACTGTAAGGAAAACAAGCTGTTGCTGACCACGCCCACTCATCCTCTGATTGTCGGGACATTTTTTCTAATAATTTTACTTGGCTGGGTTTTTATCGCAGTAAAAATGGGCAATTCCAGATCACATTCCTTCTATCTTTTCCAACAGCGTTAAGTACACTGTCACATGCAAGTGCTGGTGAGTTGTGCTGTGTAATTTCATTGGCTCTCAGTGGAGTCCCAGCTTAAACCAAGCTGCACCGACCAAACACACTGAACCAGTGACTTGGATTTGGCCAATTGCGGCTAGGAGTTACGCTCCGGTTCTTTCTGCTCTGCATCTCACCGTGAGTGCTTCCCCATCCACTTGCCGTTTTCTGCTTAGTTTGTGGAGTCGAGTGGCGTAGCAGTTTAAGCAAAAAAGCAAACTTCTCTCCCTGCAGCCAGCAAACTCGTCTGGGTGGGCGAGAAGCACAGTCCTTCCAGCATTCTCTTTCTCCATCTTGGTCAACAAAAATTTGGAATCCTGCAAATGTTTGGTGGACTCGACAGAGGAGAGGAGATCTATGCACATTTGTAAAACAGCTAATTTGAGGCATATAATTTCTAAATCAAACAATCAATCAAACTTTATTTGTATAGCACTTTTCATGTACAAAAATACGGCTCAAAGTGCTTTACAGGTTAAAATCACCCCATGTAACCTATAATCCCATAATTTACCCCAAAATATAAAAATGATTATGATCAAAAACTGACAGAAAACAGATAGACTGTTTATTTGGAGTGTTTATAGCGGCAGTAGAAACCCATACAGCAGCACAGAGATACAAAAACTTATCATATTTGCATAATAGTTCCCCTTTAAATTTGAACAATGCATAGAATAAAGCTGCATGTATTTAAAGTGTTAAAATATTTATATCAGAAAAACAAGTTGGGACTGAGTCAGGCTTTAAAATGTGCAACAAATCCACCTAAAATGTTCTAAAATAAATGCCGTCCACAAGGCAATGGTGTTTTGTTATTAAGTTTGTTGTTTCTGCCCAGCATCAATCTGAAACGGTGTGTTACTGGAACATTAGCACATTAGCACTTTAGCACATTAGCATATAATTCAACATTATCCAGAATTGTATGTAAACAACCAAACACAACCTCGTGAAAACTATGATGTCACAGCCACACCTCTGACCCTTCATGTGCATCAAACATAAGAAGAGATGCTCCACTTGTGTTTTCTCATACTTTTTGTCACAGCGCCACCTAAAGGCCTGGCAGGGTTACTGCAGGGTTTTAGATCGTGTTTGGTTCTTTTCTTTCTTCAAATGATGTATAAACTGTATTTTTCTGCCTTGGTTAGGTAACTCCAGGTTCAGACCAGTGTACCGTGCAGTGTCCTCAGGTGAGTTTGTCTCTGTATCTTCAGGTTCAATGAGCTGGTCTGGATCAGAGACAAAAAGAGACTTTTGTTTGTGGATTCCAAATGAAAATGTTTGGTCTAATTCTTGTTTCTCAGGGGGAGAAGGGTGAAAGTGGCCCAAAGGTACAGCGTTCATTTCTTTAACATGTTTATGTTTTGTGACATCAAAATGTAGCAGCATTCCCCATCATGGTAGCCAAGCACAAGAAGTTAAAGAGTTTCAATCCACAGGGTGAGAGAGGCAGAGATGGCACAGATGGACGCAAGGGGGAGCCCGTGAGTCAATTATTAGAGTGATCTTAATGAATAGAAGATGCACAGTAAAAAATGTTTTGCTGTTTTTGCAAAAATGCATAATTATAGTACATTAAAGCAGTTTGCCCACTCATTTTAACATGGCGAAGGGTCGTGATGGTTTACCTGGGAGGGAAGGTCCCAGGGGTCCCGAAGGACGACCTGGACCACCGGGACAATCGATCACCTTCGACCCCGACCTGGGGGTAAAAGGAGAGAAGGGAGAGAGAGTAAGTAACAAACAAGAGGATCGGTCAGCAGCCTAAAGTTCCTAGTCCATATAAAATCATTGTGCTTTGGTTTAGGGTTTTCCTGGTATTGATGGAAATCCAGGGTTGCCAGGACGACCAGGTGCTCCTGGAAATGCAGGTGTCCCGGTAAGTAGAGCTGGAATTCACAAACTCCTGATGTGGTGCAAAAATGACACATTCCAAGCTTTTTATTTCTCCCAAAGGGTTCACAAGGCCTGCCTGGAGTCAGAGGAAGCGCAGTGAGTAACCCTCTTACCTGAAGACCACCCAGCAGATGTCTGAATGGAGCAGGAAATGGTTTTATCTGTTGTTTTTAGGGTGAACCTGGGGGATCGGGGTCACCGGGACCAAAGGGAGACAAAGGTGAAAGGGTGAGGTGAAACACCAAACGTATTCACTTTGTAACGAACAACATTTGTGCAGATTTGAGATGATTAGCTTTGTGTTTTGATGATGTGACAGGGTGAGCCGGGCTCAGCTTTGTCTGGTGGGGGGCTTCCAGGAAGGAAAGGAGAACCGGGAATCCCTGGAATACCGGTGAGAAAACAATACAGCCAAGATTCAGAGGGAATCACTGGCACCGGTGACATTTACGATAATCTGCTACGCTCCCAGTCAAACGCACCACACTCTGATGAGGTGCATCAGCACCAGAAAGCTCTGTAGGGTTGGGAAATTGTCATAAGGGAGAGGAATTATCACTCGCTGTGTCTCACATTCAGGGGAATCCAGGCCGACCGGGCAGCGACGGGGACAAAGGATCTTCAGGAGTTCCAGGAATGCGGGGTCAGGATGGGCGTCCAGGAATACCAGGAACACCAGGACTTTCCATCAAGGTTTGCCTCCATCTCTTTGAGTCTAGAAAGGAGAAAAACTGACTCTAGATCCAGAAACTTTCACACGTAAAACCTCAATCTGGGAGTTTTATTTAAACAGTTAAATGTGATCGTCTTTATGGGAGAACTTTGGTTATTAAAATAAATCGATGTGTTAATGTTAGGATATTTTCATTCAGATTTTCTATAAATGAGTAAATAAGGGTGAAAGTGCTGTTGTTAGCACCGTGCACCTGGTGGTGGTATTGAGCTTCCAGTTAGTTTCTTCAGTCATCCTCACAGCTGATGCTCTAAAAAAGAAATAATTTAAATTGTGTTTAAATATAATTATATAGGACGTTAGTGGGCTTGATGACTGTGGTTCTTTAAAGTTTCACAGCTGAAGTTTAAAACGTGGACGTTTTTGAGCCTTTAGTTACTGTTTTAGCAGCTGTTTCATGTTGACCTTATATAACCCCATAGAGCAGAAAGTTATTCACATTAAAACAGACGTTTCATGTTTTTGGCCAACATTTCATCTAAATATGTAAAATATCTAAAATAAAGTTGCAGTTTGTTCTGCGTTTACTGTTTTATTTATCGGCTCAGTCAAATATTCAAGACGCCCGTATTATCACCAGAACCCCTTCCTTTCACCACATCACCCCGGTTCTCCAACAGCTTCACTGGCTCCCAGTTAAATTCAGGTCCATCTTCAAAATTCTCCTTCATACCTTCAAAGCCATCCACAACCTCTCTCCTCCATATATCTCAGACCTTATAAGTATTTACACCCCCTCCCGTTCTCTCAGATCTTCTTCTTCCATCCATCTTGCTGTTCCTTCTGCCCGTCTCACTACCATGGGGAGCAGAGCTTTCAGCCGCTCTGCTCCCCGTCTCTGGAACTCACTCCCCCCAGACATCAGGAACATCGACAGTTTTACCCTTTTCAAAACCAAACTCAAAACACATATGTTTAAATCTGCCCATGACCTCTGATTTTATTGAACTGTTTCTCTCTTTGTTTTTTCTTCTTTGCGTTTTATTGTGGTTTTGTTGTTGTTTTAATGTATTTTCTGAACGTATTTTCTGTCAAGTGACCTTGGGTGTTCTGAAAGGCGCTTTTGAATAAAATGTATTATTATTATTATTATTATTATTATTATTATTATTATTATTATTAATGTTATTATTATTGTTATTATTATTAATGTTATTATTATTATTATTAATGTTATTATTATTGTTATTATTATTATTATTATTATTATTATTGTTATTATTATTATTATAAGCTCAAACTAAACAGGAACAAATAATCAGCTTTTTCTGGCCTTTTTCCTCATTAAGCCTCACTCTTTTTCTTTCTTCCCCCTCAGGGAGATAAAGGCAGCCCAGGGGAAAGGGTGAGCCACACCAACTTGTCTCAGTGCAGGAATATCCTGTGAAGCAGGTGAGTGTAATTATCCTCAGCTCTTATCTGTCTTTGCTGACAGGGACTTCCAGGAGTCGGAAGTGGGGTGGCCGTGAAGGGAGACAAGGGCTCTACTGTAAGTGCCGTCCATCACTGCTTCATTCAGAAGGTGCATTTGTATGCAGATGGAGTAAGTGGTGCATTCACTAATTGATTTTTATTATCAGGGAATTCCAGGGACTCCTGGGACTCCGGGTGCCAGAGGGCCCTCAGGACCTCAGGGCAGTAAGGGAGAAAAGGTATCAACAGACGGATCCGGTTTCTAAATGTACGAGGCACGAGTGTGTTTTAATGAACGAGGCATCGCTGTTTTTCAGGGCGATGAAGGTGTTGGACTGCCTGGACCAACAGGAAAACAAGGAGAGCCTGGTGACCGGGTGGGTCATCCTGATGGGATGTGGCTAATTCCTGAGAAGAACATGAGCTCTGCAGATCTGTGATGGACAATCAGAGTCCGATAGACTTTTGATTTCATTCTCTAGCAGAACCACCTAATGAGCAAATGAAACTGACTAAAAATGCAAAGTGATAAATCATGGAATGTGTGATGCAGATTTGTGGAAAATAAAAACATGCTCAAGAGAAATCTCACACATTAAAAAGACAAACACCTTATTAGGCTGAAATGAAACCTCAGATAGACTCAAAACATTTAGATTCAAGCACCTTTTTTGTCTTCTCAGGGTCCTCGGGGGCCTGCAGGGGAAATTGGCAGCAAGGTAAGAAAAAAAACTTTGTTCAGAGATGTGAATTAAAAGATTAACCTGTTTTTTTTTTTTGTGTTTATTTTTTGTGGACAGGGTGATCGAGGACAGCCGGGTGAGCCGGGGACACGAGGAGACAGGGTGAGTCTGTTGATGTGAGAAGGTCAAGTTAGGGCCCGTCTGAACGCGTTTCCACCAGCTGCACGATGACGGTGATCCATGTTCAAACACACAGAAGCAGCTCCAGCTATTGTCTCCTGAACGGAGATGACTCACAGTCAGACGGTCACTTCATTACTCTCTTAATCCTCTTTGAGAAGTGAGTGGAGACAGTTTGAAACCTTAAAGAGTCGTTAGTTTAACATTTATTGTTCAATGGCAGTAAACTACGCACACATGGGGACATGTCTTTCTGAGAGATCATAAACAAACATAATATAATGATAAATATGAATTTTTTCCTCAGTACTGAAAACAGAAAACAACCTTTAAAAACATTTAAAGTGTAGTAATGACATTTAAAACTGTGGTTTTGAAAAGAAAAGATAAGAATCAAACTATAAACACCTCTTCTTCTGGCACTCGCAGGGTACAGACGCTTCCCTTTTTGCTCCCTCATCTTTCTTTCCCAAGGCTCTTTGTCCTGTCTGCCCACAGAGCGCTTCTCTGCACTTCTCCTGAAAATCCCTTTTTTTTAGAAATGGATTGAATTAATTGGTCATTCAACGCAATTGATAAGATTTTTTCAACGATGAGAACGGAGCTAGGGCTCCCACTTGCCCGCAAGGGACACACCCGGTGGGGTATACGCTCGATTCCTGGAAAGAATGGAGGATCGTATGCCTCTCCCAGTTGTGATTGAGGATGTCGAAGATGTGTGGATGTTTGGCCTGATGATCACTGGATTTCTTTTGATTGGAGTGGGAGGATATCTGGTTTTCTGGAAATGTGGGAAGACGGGAGCGATTGGAGGGCGACCCGCACCCACGGAAAGCACCGTTTGTGTGGAGACCTCACAGACTGGGACGTTACTCGAGGTGAATCGTAAGCTGGTCAATGTTCTAGCTGCGATACCGGTATTAGTGCGCAAAATGGATGTCATCTCGAAGAGGGTCACCGGACGGTGTGGAGATGTTTAAAACCTGAATTGGCTTCACTCGAGGACTTGAATGATCAGTTACAGACTTGAAGGCAGAGAGGAAAATTATCTCTGCCTGACCCAAACAAAGTCTTGTTATCCAAATCTGACGCCATGGCAGCCTTGTGAATGCCAACAACAAACCCCCACGAAGGAATGCAGACAGACACCTTCTGATTGGAGGACTTCAGCCTGGCGAGGTCATCAAACTGCAGGTGTCAATGTGCTCTGCGCTTCTCCCACGATCTCCCTGCCACCTGTGGCCACAGTGGATGAGTGCCATACAGGGCTGCTCTCGCTGGGGAAACAGGATCCCCCCCCCCCCCCCCCCCCCGGCCTTCCTCTCGGTGTCTCATGTTGTGAATTGTTCATGTTCGTGCTTATATGTTTGAGGCGTTTTTTTTGCATAGTAAAGCTGCGCCCTGCCGGGAGTAACTCTGGTATGCCTTTTTTTCCCTCCCCCAATTTATCCTCATGTAATCCCCTTTTCATCTAATTGAAATGAGCGCCGTCATGGCTGCTCTTGTGGTCTGCCTGTATCTGTTCTGTCTACATGTGTGTGTGTAACCTTGGTCAGGCTGTGCTGCGGAGTCAAGTTCCTATGCTCTGGTTCGCTGGAGCGCTGGCAATAAAGCTTTTTCTGATTTCTGATAAAAAAGAAAAAAAGTCATTTTAAAGTCATACAGTGCAACTTTTTAATATTTTTAAACTCTTTTTCTTGAGCCAGTATGTGCTAAAATGACTCTTTACATGGTTAATGAAATGTCACTCAAACCCCCACCACCCTTTTTGGCCAGAATACCGCACTTGCAACTTCAGAGTGCCAGTCCGGTCCCTGTTGGACTTAGTAAAGTAAAGCTGACATGCCTGGTGGAGGAGTTGCTTCCAGCATGTTTCCTGCATGTTTTAGATCATGAACACAGCTGATTTGTTTAATTTAGTGATGAATCACTCATGTAGACACTAATGAAGGCTGGGAGACATTTCAGCTGTTAGATTAAGGTGTTAAAAAGACGAACGCACAGCAAGGAGATAGGGTTCACTTTTGGTTTCACAAACTCCAAGATTCTTTATGTGGTAGATATTGCTTCAGGTCCAGACCGGTTTTCTGATAGGATGAGAATCAGAACCTTTGTGTGTTTTACAGGGAGAGCGAGGTCCGGCTGGTGAGACTGGGGAGAAGGTGAGTGTCTGGTGATGGTTGTATACGTCACTGGTGCTGAAGCTCTTGGCTGATGCTTGGCTGCTTTTTAACTTATTTTTCTCAGGGGGACCCAGGAAAACCTGGAAACTCGGGACCATCGGGTTTAAGGGTGAGTGGCAGACTGAGGTGTCAGAGGGTTAATTATTTACCTGTCTTTGCTAGCGCCTTGAACAACCTCTGTTTGGTGAAATAGAGCTTAACAAGCTAATGGCTAGTATGTGGATACCTCAGTGGATTGAAAGATTTCTAATGTCAAAAGTGTATTTGTTTTTAAAGAACTTTGCACTATTTGAGTAAAATCTTATGACAGTGACGGCTGGTGAAAATAATTCTTGAAGGGGCTGATGAGCCAAAAGATTTCCCCTCCTAATCCTTTATATATATTTATATAAACAGTTTAAAAAATAAATACAATTTCATAACAACCATCTTTTCTTCCCTTTTCCAGATTTCAGTTTCTGAGAAAAGTCATTTATCAAACTTAGTGCTAGATTAGAATAACCTACAATAAAATAAATGCACGAGGATATGGTGTGTGCACCTTTCAACCAAACACGCAACTGCAGTCCATAATGTTCATTTATGTCCTTTTTGATGTTTTATTTTGTCCTTAGTTTGTTTTCTAGTCTGAATTTTGACTCTAACAGTGTGTCCCCAAGCCTAAATGATGTTTCATTAAACAAAATATCAACTTCTGAACTTTTTAAGCCCATAAAACAAGAACAAATAAACATCTTATTGCAGCAGCTACAGTTTTGATCACAGCTCTATCTATAATAATCAACAGTGAGTGTGTGAATGAGGGAGTGGGAGGTGGCAGATACATGCTAGCTGGCTGTTTTACTGTAGCAAGGGCAGAATCGCCCAGCGCCTCAAGAAGAATACATCCCGTAATGATGAATGGCCAAAAAATCTATCAGTTCTCCCTAGCAACCAAATATGATTGGCTGTTAAGCTGCAATCGAACCAAGGGAGGGCAGCACCCTCTACGGGTGAGCCGCTACTGAATTTAGCAACACGCATCAAACGTTTTAGCTGCAATGAATGTGTAAGGTGAAATTTTCAATTTTATGAAGATTTATAACGTAGAGTTGACTAGAATCACTAGCTGTTTTTACAGGACCATAGCGTTTGCAAAACGGGATTTGCCGCGGCTCCCTGGGGAGGATAAAGGTTGTTTATAAGATCAGACCGTGGCGGTAATGTGGCGCAATCTTGGCAATTTTATAAAATATTAGGTGATGACGGCATAAAGGGGGTATGGGGGCGGTCTCTGCGCTGCCGCAGACTTCCGTTTATCGTGGACATAACTTGCATTTTATTGCGATTGAAGCCATGATCGTTAAGTTTTTTTAACAAGCAGCTCCTAAAGGTGTCTGTCCCCATCAGTCCCTCTGCAGTCTCTGGTGATCTGAGCTTCAGCTCTAACAGAGAGGCTCGTGGAGCGCTGCGGTGTTCCAGTTTGCCATCTCAGCTGATTTTGTTCAAAAAGCAAACCTTATTACCTGTGTTTACTTTCATTTTCAATAAATTTGCCAGCCGGAGCTCAGCAATAACTCCCCATGCCATCATGACATCTGCCTCTGTTGCACCAGGGCGCATACGACAGACCATTACCGCAATATTACTACCAAGCGAGGCGGGACGAATGCCGTAAAATTCGTGCAACGCCATGTCGGCATGGCGCGTTTATAGACATACCATTGCGGTAATATTATGCCAATTTGCCGGCATGATGTGTCTTATAAAAAGAGCTTTAGATGCATTTGTGGTTAGTTGTTTTAAAACAGCAGAACAGCTGACTAGCCTTTAGCATATCAATCCAGTTCAAATTTATCACAGATTTTCAAAAACTGAGGTTGTTCAGAATGTCATCCACAACAGCTACAGTATTATTGTTCATAAACCCCAAGAGCTTAACGGTGACTTTAATGGTCATGCACATTTGAGGAGGTGTCACAAACCAGTGTCTTTAAATGTATTTTTCTTTTTATTTGCAACCAGGGTTTACCAGGACCAAGTGGACCGGCAGGAGAAAAGGTGAGCATGATACAATTAGGAGCAATCACAAAAGGCGCAGCAGGTCAGGAGGAACGTGATTTCTTTGATCAACATTTCATAACCTGGTAATGAGTTTTCATGCAAAGATGGGAGAACAAGTCAACGTGTCTGTTTCCAGGGAAATGAAGGCGCTCGAGGGGAGCCGGGCAGAAGTGTGAGCTCTCAGAAATGAGAAAATCATTGCCTCTGTTTATTTATCTTTCTTTTTCACTTGGATATTAATATCCATGACAGTGTTTGTAAATGATTTAATGTTTTTTAATCATCTCAGGCTCAAGGTTTGCCAGGGAAGAAAGGAGACCAGGTGAGATGCAGAGCTGATGCTCCTGTGGTTATTCTAGAGGAGTTCAGCAGATGTTTATCTGTTTTCCGTCTGTCCCACAGGGGGAACGAGGCCTGCCGGGTCTCCAGGGTCTGAGCGGGGAGAAGGGAGAGCCTGGAGAAAGAGGAGAGAAAGTAAGCCGCCACCATATGTCACTTTCATATTTTTTGCATGAATGCCACTAAAACAGATCATTTCTCTTCTTCTAGGGTCCTCCAGGTACAAGTACAGGTTCAGATGTTGCTGGATCAAAAGGAGAACCTGGAGATCGAGTGAGTTTAAAAACGGCAAAATCCAGAATAATCCAGTATCTACACGTTTGTTCTCCTGAAATCCTCCAGAAATAAAACAAAATGTTTGCTCTTCCCTCAGGGAGTACCTGGAATTAGTGGAAGACCTGGGCCCAAGGTGAGAGTCCTGCAGAGTCCTCGTCATGGTATCTGTTCATATAAATAGTTAAACTCCTTTCTTCACTGTGGTTTAGGGAGCACCAGGTGAAACAGGAGAGAGGGGAGAGAATGGAAGTCCGGGGATCCCAGGAAAGGCTGGTGTCCCTGGAAAACAGGTCAGGCTTATTGATTAGTCATGACTGTTAAGTGAAATGAGAAATTTCTTTGGTTTTGACAAGAAAAAAACAATTTTCTTACAATTTACAAATAAATGATCAAGCAGTTAAAATGCAACAGTGTAATGGTCTGAAAGCTTTGGAGCAAGTCTGATAGATCTGTTGAGAGGAGGGGAGCCTGAGCAAAGGTCCAACAGTGACCCAAAGCACACTTAAAAGACATGTCAGCCATGTCTGAACAGTCAACCATAAGTCTAATAATGTCAGGAACCGGTACAGCCTCACGACCTGAACCCCGTTGAGATGGTCAGGAAGAAGCTGGAGGTCCACTAAGCTGGAACTGCAGCAAATGGTGTTCCCTGATGGATCTTTCATCCTGTAGCCTCCTTCAGTTCCCTCAAACAAGTGTAAGCCGCGCCGATGTTCACTCTGGTTTTAGCTCTTAGCTTTGCAGCACAAGATATTACTCTTCACTTCCAGGCTCTGCTATGATGCCAACTGAAAAGCAAATTTCATATTTTTCTTCTTGTGCTTTTTATTGCCGATCAATGAACTGAAAAGGCTAACTGCTAGCATTACAGCTAACAGCCTTAAAGCAGGTATAGAGCACCTAGAACGCCTACCCGCTCCACAAAACTATCACGTGCAGTTTTTGGCCAGCTGAAGGTTGCAGAGTGGAGTCAAATATGAAACTGGTCAAATTTCTAACCCAGCAGTCACTGAGATCAACGTTAAAACTCTATCTTAAAAATGTTAGAAACCATCTATGGCAGAAAGGAGTTTCCTTTGAAGGGTGGCCAGGCTAGGAGACTCTGAGTAGAGACGCTGCCCTTTAGCCAGCTGAGGTAGGTCAGGTGTTTGGTCATAAGGCCTCCTGGACACCTCCCAGAGGAGATGTTTTTCAGGCTTGCTCTGAGCAGGTCCCTAGGTTGACCTGGAGGGATTATATCTCCAAGCTTGCCAATGAATGCCTTGGGACAGTATTGGTGAAGCTGGCTGCTGGGTAGTAAACATTTAGAGTTTCTCTGATGGGGCTGCTATCCCCATGACCTGGACAAGCTAAGGAAACCTTTATTTTTTTCAAAATTTGTAATCATTTTCTTCTAAATCTTGCAAAAAGTTGCGTAATATAGAGATAGAAAAACCAAAATGCCAACAAAGTCCAGAGGCAGCAGGTGGGTGGGTCAAATAAAACTAAACTCTTTAAAGCTGACATATCATTGTAACGGGCCCCAGGAGTGGGAAGCGCCATCACAAGTACGTTGTCTGTAAAGCAGGTGAAAGCAAAGCAACAAAGATGCTCCTCGTTTCCCTCTGGTTTCCTTCTGAACACCACATTTCTGTTCTCTCATTTCAATTCCTTATATTGTAACTGACAACATTATTAAAAATCCCTCAGGTTGCTCCCCACAGTGTTCTAGCCAGAACATATTTAACTTTTCTGTGATAACACATTTTTTCTGCTGATTACCCTAAAAAATTGATCTCTGTAAACAGTTTACGTTGTTGTTTTCTTATAGTGTATCACTGATTTCAGCACATCACACTCAGTCAGTGCATTCACATCAGACTGTAGAAAGAGTTCACATGCACATTGCTCTAAATTTTTGTTTTTTAAATTGCATGTAAACGTGTTACTCTGGCTGAATGCGAGCTGGTTTTAATCGAGCTGAAGCATCCAGACAATGCGGTAGCAATCTGATTACATTCTGCATGTAAACGGGTCAGCCAAGCTAAACCGGTGGGACGCTCGAGCTCTGGAAGTGACGAGATTGCAGAAATGGTCTTCTGACAAGACCATCATCACAAAGCAACACGCATAACGCCATAAAACAGGACAGTGCGTACGCGTGCAGCTGTACTGCAGCGTTGTTGTTGCACATTCCTTCAGTCATTGTTTATATCCTGCTTCACTCCCGCCTCTGCTTACTGCTTGTGATGCAACAAGCTAAATGGAAGAATCAAATCAATCAAATCAAAGATACTTTATTAATCCCAGAGGGAAATTAGAGTTTCAGTACACACAGTTCAGAGATCAGACATGCATGGGCAAGACACTTGACAAGAATTGGTGATTGTGGTCATTCGCAACCCTGAGTCGCGCTACCTTAATAGAGATAAGAGGGGTTTACATGAGGGTTGGTTCAGGTGGAGGGATAAAAAGGCACTTCAGAGCTACCCTCCACAAGGAGGGCAGCTTTGCTCTGCAAAAAAAAAAATAATAAAAAAAAAAACCACCTCAGACAGATATGCAACAGACTTCAGACAACACAACATAAGTGTCCACTAGGTGGGGCGGTGGGTTGGGACTATCCAACATGAAAAGGTGCACGTCGCCACCTACTGTACTGGAGTGGAACAGACTTTATTTTAGAGTTTGGTTTTCTAAACCTGAGTTAAAGTCCATCATTGATGCGATGAAAAGTGATAATCATGTTGAGCTCTTTTCTATTCCTTCCAACATGCATCTCTTTCTAAAGGTGATAATTCAGAGGTAAAAACGACTCGTTTCTGCACACTCAGCTTGTTGGTGGCAATATTCATTCATGGTCATTCCTGTTTTATAGGGAGAGAAAGGAGACAAAGGGGATGAGGGCACACCTGTGAGTATACATCTGTGTTTCCTGGTCTTTAGTAAGTTTTTTTTGTTCAGTCTAAAATTAAAAAAAAGTATTTTGATACAATGTTTGAAGAACCATCAGTGTGCCCACCTGCAGTTTTATTGTTTTTCAGGGTGAAACGGGACCTCCAGGGAAGGCAGGAGAAAGAGGGTTGAGGGTAGGCCATTTTTTTATTTTTTGTTCAGATGTCACGTTAAAACTTTAAAGCTGCCAAGTAACTTCAAATTCAGTTAACAAACACCGTGTTGTCGACTGCCCACTCAGGGGCTGGCTGGTCAGCCTGGACGACCGGGAGAGAAAGGAGACATGGGAGATCCGGGAGAGCACGGACGAAATGTGAGAGACTCCTTTATGTTTCATCGCAAAGACAGCTTTTCAATAGGCTCTTGTGTAACTGCACCGAGGCCGGGGGACAGGTGAGGAAGGTCGGCCACTCTGCAACTTTATTGATCTGTGTTCGATTCCAGGGCAGCCCTGGAACTGCTGGACCGAGGGGGGAGAAAGGAGAGCAGGCATGCTGTCTTCTTTTATTTGTCAAATTTCCCGCATAGCTTTAGATCTGAACTCACATTTTACTTTCCCCTATTAGGGACCTCAGGGGCCTCCGGGACCACCGGGAAAATTGGTAGGCCTGCGACTGAGCTAACCCAAACACGTGTTTTTATCATGTTCTTGCTGTGAATGAATGTTTTTATCTCTGAGAACCCAGAGGAGGCAAAGCAACGTGTCATTCCTCGTGTTTGCTTTTCAACAGGCTGATTCTCAGGCACTGCTGAAAGGCGGGAGAGGAGAAAAGGCAAACGTGTTTCATTTTCATTTTTGTGTCACTGCACATTAATCATCCTGTCGGCACTGCAATACAAACAAACCATAAAACTGAAATCAAATGTAAATAATTGGGCTGGGTGGCTAAAAAAAGCTGTGATGTTGTGATCCCCAGGGCGATGCTGGCGACCCGGGAGAACATGGCAGCAAAGGTCAGAAAGGCGAGGCTGGGACTCCTGGAGCTGCAGGCCTGAGAGTGAGTTCTGTAAATGCTTTAATGGACAACTAATCCTCCACTCCACTGTAAATGCATCTGTATGCAACTCCTTTCTGTGTAGATTTGCTTTGCATGACTGATCAGCATCCGTGACTTCTTGTTCTTTCTCTCTGCTAAAGGGTCCAGAGGGACCACGAGGGCCCACAGGCACAAAAGTGAGTATCCTCTCTGCATTAGTCCTCATGAGAGCAGCAGACACTGGACAGTAACTAAATCATCTTGCTGTATGTCAAATATGCTAACATGCTGCTGTTGTGTAACAAATCCAGGGTGATGCAGGAGAAAGGGGTGGACCAGGAGAGAAGGTTTGCAACTTATCAGTGTGACTCTTTCATTTTATTTAAAAATGTCAGTAAAAAAGAAAGAAAGTAGAAATCCTGAATGGATTCAAACTGTCTACATAAATAAAACCGTGTCCTGTTGATCTGCAGTAGAATACACCTTTAAAGTAAAAAAACCCAATAATTTCTGTTATTTGTTGATCTTGTCAGTTTATTGGACACAAACATTCTAAACATTTTTGAAGTGGGTTTCTGCTAAAACAATGGTTCAGCTAGACCAAAGGTGTAGATCTATCCACTGCCTGTTTAGTAACCAAACGAGCTCCATAACGACAAACCGTGATTAGTTATGAGACAAATGGTGAATGGGCTGCATTTGTAATGCACACACACGTACACACACAAGTACACATGCACACACACATAGCTATGTTCACACAAACACACACACACACACACACACACACACACACACACACACACACACACACACACACACACACACACACACACACACACACACACACACACACACACACACACATGCATATCTATGGTTTGTCCCATGAGAGGCTTCATTATGTGACGTTGAAGCTGACATTTCACCACTGATCTCCCAGTCAGGTGACCTCTCTACCCACAGAGCCACAAACACTCCAACAACAATCCACTTTAGAACTAGCCTGATTTAGTTTAGCCAACAGCGGGGCTGCAGCTGTAGAATGTTTTTGTAATCGAGTACTCTATCGAATCTTTTATCGATTAATGGAGTACTCTAATAAATGACCCTTTTGTGCTTGTAAACCATTATATCAAAAAGCATGTTATAAAATATGAAAGACCTCTTAAAATGAGCACGCGATTGCCGGTTATTCTTCAAGTTTTATTCAAAACTAGTTTTCAAAACTTCAGCAATTCAACTTTACTTCACAGTAAACAAATTCTTGTGCAAAAAATAAGTAAACAACCTGAGCCTAGCAAAAACTAGGAGGATAACTGTTGAAGTAGCGCTGCGAGCGGCTGCGGCCCAAACAGCACCAGAACCGCTCACGGCGCATGCGCAAACATGGCTCGCCAGCTATTTCCCTAATAACACACGCCCGTTTTAATTTCTACGCTTTTTTTCACACACAATAACAAGGATTGTCGAGAAAACATGTTTGCCGTGGTTATGTCAAGTTATACTGATCACATAACACTTTCTTTCGTTTTCCTCCGCCACTCATAAATACCTGTGTCCTCCTGCAGCAATCCAGAGGGACAACAGACGTCAATAACAACACAATAAAAGGTCTGACGTGTTGCTACCAGACGCACAGTGTGAGCTAAAACTGATGCTACAAACGAAAAAGTTGCACCATGTCCACAGAATATATAGACATACAGGCTAAAATGCATTATCTTGTAGAGGCTCAGAGTCCGCTTCCAGAAGTGACATTTACAGGTGCTGCAGCATGGAGGATGTAGTGTTGAAGGCTAAATTCATTTTACATTATTTACACTGGACTACGTTTTCCGCCTTACGACATGAAAAATGGTCCCACACCTTTGATATTTTCTGTCTTTTTCACACTCCACCGGGTCCACGTTGTTCGCCATGGAGTAAGAGGAAGTTAAGTTATATTCGCTAGTCGCGTGTGCATTCAGTGCAGTGTGTATGTGCGTCACTTATTTCGGTCCGGGTGAAACACGACCCCTGGGCGATTGCAAAGCCATGAATTTATTAAACATGAATTAAACAAATCCTCGAGGCAGAGAATTTGACTCAAGGCTTTTTGTACTCGATTTATTTGAGGTACTCGAGGAATCGTTTCAGCCTTAGCCAACAGTTTGTTAGTCTGTTAAGGACTGATCTCTGTTTCTTCAAACTGAGGCTGTTCATAGACCTATGCACAACCGGTATACAACGGTAAATAGCTATTCTACAGACAGAACCCCACTTCTAGAGATCTGGACAATCCTGTTAAGTGTTTGTCTCTCCCTGATCAGGGAGAAAGGGGAGCGTCTGGCTTAGATGGGCGTCCCGGTCTGGATGGGAAACCCGGCCTTCCAGGATCACCTGGACTGAGGGTACGTTGGTGTGTGACTCCTGATGAAACCTTTAACCACTCTGTGACTACGTAGCAGCATCTGTTCCATTTTGTTGCTTTTTTTGATAGGGTGATCCCGGGAAAACAGGTGACGCTGGGAGAGATGTAAGTTACCTTTTACCTCAACTTTTAAACAAATGCTTTTTTTTTTCAGTTTTTATTTACATTTGCTGCAGGCCTTTTCATGCATTCTGCAGCTTTTCTGCACTATCGGTTTACAAACTGCAGAGGGCATTGTGGAGATGCTCAGACCTAGTCCTTACTCCTGAGGCAGGTTGCATAAGCCAGCTTCTATGGGGGAAGATGTCTCAAAGCCAATCCGCTCCACAGGAGACTATTATATAATATTGACAGTAATAATGTTGTAATAACAATGTTTCCATCGGTCTCCAACAGCTCCAAGTTTACAGTTTATGTCTGTCTTATAGTGCAGACAGCTCAACAGTAAAATCTAACTATTTGGATCATTTTTGACATTTAATTACATATTTTTTAATCCTTAATGAAAATTCCCTCTCACACATCCTTTACCAGGGATTGCCAGGATTAAGGGGTGACCAGGGTCCTCAGGGGCCCATTGGCCCTCCAGGAAGCCCTGGAGTACCTGTGAGTACACAATACCACACACACACACACACACACACACACACACACACACACACACACACACACACACACACACACACACACACACACACACACACACACACACACACACACACACACATTTCTCAAACTGATGGGTATTTTTTTTTTTTAGGGAAAGGCAGGTGAAGATGGAAAAGCTGGTCTTCCTGGCAAAGTGGTAACTTCTCATCCTGGATCTTCTGATTCCATCCGATATGAAACATAGCTCGTTTTATTTGCAGTTGTCAGACTTCCATCACAGAAAAAGACTGCTGCTTAATTACTGAGCCAACAAGTGGAGGCCCCAGTAGAAAACCGTCCGTTTTTCACTTATAAAGTGTTTGTTTGGACTTGCAGGGGGAGGACGGAGTGCCGGGTGAAGATGGGAGGAAGGTCTGTTTCTCTTTAGAAGTTGATATTATTGATAAAACTACGGAAGAAAAAGTGATTAGAAACAGAAAAAAAGCTCTAAATTTAACTCTTGGATTGAAACAAGCCTTAAAAGTCATTGTTAAATTGACTTTTTAATGTGCAGCATCTTGACCGTGATCCTGGTCACATTCTTCTAAAACGGAGTCAAACAAACAGCAGTTTATACGTGCATAAGTACTTTGAAGTATTTGCCTAATTTGTGTGTTTTTACTGGAACATTTCTCTGATCTGCAGGGGGACAAAGGAGAAGCCGGAGCAGCTGGAAGAGACGTGAGTTTTTCAGACCTCTTCATAATTATCCCTCTGGTGGATTTTTGTTGAGACTTTGTTTTCTTCATCCTCTCTTTTGTTGTGTCTCCTTTGACTTTGTCACACATCAGCGTTCCTTTTCCTCTCGTGCCTTCCTCTCTCTCGTGTCTGTTTATGGGGCGCAGTTTGCTCTGACATTGACACCACGCTCGCCGGCGCTCTGCTGACTCAATAGGCTCCTTACAATCAGCTATATGGATCCAGCAGCTTTTAATGATCAAGTTTAGCCTTTAAGGGGAGCCCCTTCAGAGAGGAATCCAGAGGAGCACCAAATGTCAGAGAGATGTTTTCATGTGCAAATTCGTATTAATTATCTCCTGAACATCAGTGGAGGGGTGGCAGCAGCCACCTGCTTTGATTTTATAGTTCAGCCTCCACTATAGCTCTGACAGGGTAAAAAGCGGTAGTGTGTGATTTTTTTTCTTTCCCAGGGACGGGATGGGCCAAAAGGAGACCGCGGTCCTGCTGGGCCTGCAGGCCCCACCGGCCCCCCTGGATCTCCTGGATTACCTGGCAGTGTTGGTCCTCCTGGACAGGTGCGAGTGATCCAGGCAACATTAGAAAAACACAAATAAATTGTTAATTTTTAAACTGATCCTTTTGTTTCCCCCCTCAGGTTGTTTATGTAAAAGGAGTTGAAGCTGCTCCTATCCCCGGCCCTCAGGGGCCTCCAGGAACGCCTGTGAGTAAACATCAGCCTCGTGAAGAACCCATTACAGCTTTTCTGTCTGTCATTCTATTCAGGAAATGCAGCTGTTCATCCATATAAAACGCTTTGTTTGTTTTTGCTAATTAACAAATGCAATTTTTGCATAGCCTGCATAACAGTGCAAACAAAGCATATTCAATTCAATTCAAGTTTATTTATGTAGCGCCAAATCACGACAAGAGTCGTCTCAAGGCACTTCACACGGTAAACATTCCTATACAGGTCAGTTCATTAGGATCAGAATCAGAATAAGATTTGTTGCCATGTAGGTGAGAGGCTTATCTACTGGGGATTTGTTTCGGTGGCAAGGTGCAAACATACATTCAGGTCAAAGTCAGGTCAGGCAGTATTTACATTAGGATACATCAAATAACAAGAAAAGAAATATAGCCAGAAAACAATCATAAATGTAGGAATGTGGGTGACCGGGGCATTTCTGTGTGTTTTGGCCATTCATCGGTTGTTCAGGAGCCTCACAGCGGAGGGGAAGAAGCTGTTTTTGTGGTGTGAGGTTCTAGTCTGTAAGGACCTGAACCTCCTGCCTGAAGGTAGGGTTTCAGACAGTCCATGACCAGCCAATCAATAATAAAAAAAAAGAATTCCTCACGTGAAGCCCTTGTTGACCTGCAGCAGCGACCTTTTCCCCAAAATGCACTCCTAAAAATACTTGTTGTATGAACTGAAAAATAAATGGATGGGATGAGAAAGCAACCATTGAACCATAATATACCTGAGATGGATCAACATAATCTTCCTGTGCTGATTTACAGCATGGCTTTATTGAATTCATAGGAATTCATATAGCCTGTTGTTTTGCATGCCAGAGTTTTAAACTGAGTTTGTATTATGTTGACTGAATTATTTTTATGTTATTTTAATATTTTTTGGCAAAACTTGACAATAATATTTGACTCGATTAATTATTTTTTATAATTGTGTGTTGTGTTTTTAGAGACATACCTGTTGTTAAGTCAACCAGAAACTCTTCAATTCTGGATTTATTTCCTTAAAGGCTGTTGGAAATATTTTTTATATTTTTTTCATTAATTTATTGAACTGGCAGTTTTTAAGCATTAGATTGGTACACAACCCCTGATCATCAAAAAAATAAATTAATAAATAAACTCAACTCAACTTTATGTTAAACACGTAACTTTTTTTTTCTCTTGACCCTACTGGATCTCTGCATCCCAAACAGCATCATCATTCATGTGTAACCTCGCTTTTCTCCTTTAGGGAGTTCCTGGAATTCCAGGAGCTGTGGGAGCTCGAGTAAGTAGCCTCTAATTTACTGTTTGTTTTCAGTATTTAATCTCTTTGTATTTTTTTGACTTGATGCATTTTGTTTTCAGGGGGAGAGGGGCCCACCTGGTCCCAAAGGAGATACTGTAAGTAAAACTCGAGCCCCCCAGGCTTCATGGGAGACTTTTGAATTAATGTCTGTGCCTGACCTGGAAAAACTGCTTTTCCATCTGAAGCCTTGTGATGTTCTCTCACCACAACTCTTCGAGGAGGCATTTTTATCTTTGTCCCTTTTCCCTGAGACTGGAAGATCGGGGTTTGATTCCCGGTTGGGTCATACCAAAGACTTTTAAAATGGGACCCAATGCCTTCCTGCTTGACACTCAGCTTTAAGGGGTTGGATTGGGGGGTTAAACCACCAAATAGTTCCTGAGCGCAGTCACAGCTGCAGCTCACCGCTCCCCTCCAAGAGGATGGGTCACATATGGAGATGAATTTCAGCAGTGTGTCATGATGACTATGAGACTTAAACTTTAATTGAAATGATCATTAATGGCAGTTTACATTAAGGTGTGGTCCCAAGCTCTCTGAAAAAAGTGGTTGTCTGTGTCACAATCTGCTCCTGCCTCCCTGACTGTGTCTCTCCCCTGCCCTTTATTAGTCCCTATTGGTTCCACCTGCTCCTTGTTACCTGCCCAGGTGTTCCTGATTTTCCCCTGTGTATTTATACCTCCCTTCTTGTATCAGTCTTGGTCGGATCATTGCTTGTTGTCAGCGTTATTTTGTTCTGTCGTTCCCGCTCTGCCATGAAAACTACTTTTATTTCATCCGTGCCTGCATTCCTGCCTCCTGATCTTCTCCACCACACATGGTCCGCCGCCATCCACACCCTCAACGGGACAGCCTGTCCCACCTTAAAAAAACCTGGACTGGATTAATCAGTTTTAGCTAACTACAGACCAATCTCAAAGCCCTCATTCCTTTCTGAGCTTTTGGAGAAGGTGGTTTATTTACAACTGGTGGACTTCTTGAACTGTCATGACGTTTTGGAGAAATTCTAGTCAGGCTTCAGACCTGGATACAGCACAGAGACTGCTCTTTTAATGGTTCTTAATGATGTATTTTTAGCTGATAAGTGTCAGGCCGTTGTGTTTTTGCTACTGGACTTGACTGCTGCCTTCGATACGGTGGACTATGACATTCTGTTGGATCGTTTACAGAACTTGGTGGGGATTACAGGGGTGGCCCTTCAATTGCTGAGGTCCAACTGTAAATGGATGACAGGAGGTTTTGTGTGTTGATGGGTGAGGCTACTTCAGCCTGGGAAAGTCTCAGATGGGGAGTCCCTCAGGGCTCTGTCCTCAGCCCCCTTCTGTTTACCCTATACCTCCTGCTCCTGGGGGTCCTCCTGCAGCGTCATGGTGTTAAGTTCCATTTTTATGCAGATGACTGCCAAATGTATTTGCCACTTGCTTGCCTTGAAACCCACTTTTATCGGCTGGCTTTCCCCCAACATTGACACTGGCTTTTACATTTTTATCATTTGTATTGCACAGTTTTTAATCGCGTTTATTTGTCTGTCTTTCTTTTTACTGATTTTTATTCAATATGTTGTTTTCAATTACTACTCTGGTTTTCATGGCCTGTTCAGCACCTTGGGCCTCTGTTAAGGTGGTACAAGGTGCTTTATAAATAAAAAAAAACTGAAATGAAATAAACAGGTAACTGTTTGACATCAACTTTTCACAGGTTTTGTGTTGATTCATTGATATCTTTGTAGGGAGACCCAGGAGAGGACGGAGCGCCTGGTAAACCTGGGACTGCGGCGGTAGGATGCATCACATCTTGTAACATAATAATGAATTGAGTTATCATGGTTCAACATTGTGTTTCTGCTTCTCCAAACAAAGGATGTACAAAAAGCTTTGGCAAACCTGGGCATTCAGGTGAGGAACTGGTTAACTGTTTTGGATCATTTGTTGACTTTTATTTGATTGTCATTTTGCTACAAATATGAGAAAAATGAGAAAGGCACAGGCAAACAGAAACAGAAAACCCTACTTTAGAAAACTTCAAATGGACATTTTATGCAAAACTCACCTGCTGGGTCTTTGTTGCCTTCATAAACATTCCAAATGTGAAAAGCAAATATCCCCCTTTTGGATTAGAGTTTGGTTAAAACTGTGTGTGATGTCACAAAAGGGTAAAGTAGAACAAAACCACCTCTCACATGCAAAAGCGTCGCAGATCTACTTCAAGCCCCTCCCAGACATCAGAGCTTCTCAGCTTCTAGCAGCCCATGTGGGGGATGGTTGGGTATGGCCAGGAACAACTTGTTTTCTTAAAGTGACAGAGCCCTGAAACGGCTCATTCTGGAAGGTACTGAAACTGCCAAGAATTAAACTGCTAGTAACGTGTTATGTGAGAGATATTCAGTACTTCATTAACATGTATTGTATCAAATATGGAATTACTGTAAATTAAGAAAAAGTCTCAATAGTTCCCGTTTAATATTTTGACTCATGCCTTTATCATCAATTTGTTTAAACACAAATATGAGGTTTTTTTGCATCTTCTTCACAAACTTTTCACCAATTTGACTGACTAAATTAAATAATCCTGACATTCTCACACATTATTAAATATGTCAGGCCAAATATCCCATAAAACACCTAGATCTGGCCCACTGTGCAAAAATCTAGTTTGGACGTCCTACAGACGTGATCTGGACCGACAGACTCAATATAGACATGATCTGCACTTCCATGCGACGTTGACTGTTTGCAGGGGGTATTTCTGACTTCAGGAAGGGAATAGGACAGTAAGGGCTACAGTCAAGAACACTTCTGAAGCTGCTGATTTGAATTTGTCGCAACCTGCCTTTGACTGAGGTCAGAAGCATTTCACAGACACTGATCTGTGCCCGAAAGGTGTGAAACTCTTCCATGTCTGACTTTGTCCTGCGTGCAGGTGTCTGATCTGAAGGTGGTTGTGGACAAGAAGGACGCGATGTTGGCTCAGTCGGTGCAAGGGGCTGAAAAGGGTGAAAAGGGGGGAAAAGGTGAACCTGGACAGAGAGGACCATCTGGTGTCGATGTAAGTCTGATGCTCTAAAACCAAACAGCACTGTCAGTGTTTTTATGATTTGTTATTTACCTTAGCAGGCAGCAACATTAGCACCTTAGAGGTGTGGAGAGAGTGGTTATTGACTTTGGTGCGGTGCATTTTGATGTAGTTCATTTTCCCTCTCAGACTATCAAACTGTGTGTAAAGGAATACTTGACCAAGCAAACCCGTTCCTAAAGCTCTGCAACACATTTTTACTAATGATAAAAAGATGTTTTAACCTTTGGGCTCAATCTGGCTGTCAGATTCAATGGTTTTTAGATTTGCGTTGAGTACAAATGAAGCACTTTTCCCTACAACCACTCAGCGATTACTATATCAGAGGTATTATGGTGTTTGGTGTCTGAAGGAAGCCGCTATCTTGGGTGAGCTGGGAGATAAAGACCTGTAATCCTCCACTCCACCTCAGGGTAGAGAACAGACTACAGTGAGTAGAAGGCAAACAGTTTTTTCTGTTTCTAAAGCTGGCATTAAAGCTGGGAAATGTAGTTTACAATTTTTAAAGTAACTTAAAAAAGCTTAAATTTGACTTTCTGACCCTGTTCTATGAAATAAAGTAGTTAATTTTGCACTGTTTAAATTTCCCCTGGCCTCTACAGCAGCATGAAGAATTTACGTAAGCCTAGAGCGTTGACCAATACAGCTGCATGTCCACAAGAGGGAGCTGTTAATAAGAATGTGCCCCAGTCCTAAACAGCTACGTAGTGACACAGATGCCTCGCTCAGCTAGCACACTAATAGGTTTGGGCATCGTTTGATTTTGAATGATTCTGATTCCAATTTCGATTCCGGTTCCTATCGATTCCCGATTCCGATTCTTTAAAGACATGACATGTTTTACATGAGCCAGTTAACCACAGGTCCTACTTGATGAAATAATCTTAACTTCAACATGAATTTTAATTCTATGAACAACAACATCACCTTAATTTAGACAAATCATGTTTTGGAGAAAAAAAGAAAAAGACTTGCAGCACAACCAGTGTGTTTGTTTCTGACCACAACCAAAGTCTGGAAGAAGCCTCTGGGATGAGAGGCCAAATGTCTCCAACATATCCAGAAGCGTCCAGCTGTTTTCAGCTAAAACTCTCAGGATGATCATGTCCAGGATGACTGAGAACTACACCTCCATGCTGCAGCAGCATTCAGTCAGAACAGGAAGAGAAACTTAAATGTAGCTGCTGTCAGTAACAATCTAACAGATTTTAAACATTAAAACTCTCAACAGAACTAGTTCAAAAAGGAAATTAAAATGTTCACAACTTTGTGTGCGGTTTATTATTATTATTATTATTATTATTATTATTATTATTATTAGTATTATTATTATTATTTACTGTGGCAGAAGCTGGTGTGGTCCACCACAGAGAAGCTTCTCTAGCATGATGATTTTAATTATTCTACAGGTTATTGTTCAGCCTTCTGACGCTCACATGTCTGACTGCTGACGCTTCGTGTGTTTTTATTCCTGCAGTGAGACAAACTCACCTCACACCGTCCAGAGTTTGTTCTTTAAAGCTTCCATTAAATCCACCGTGTTGACATATTTAACAAGTTTCCTCTAAGCTGCAGGAATTAAAGTTTACATTACGGAGTAAAAGTTCGGCAGACGTGTTGTTTAGATTTGGCCGCTGCCCGCGGGGTGGGGGAAGGGGGGGTTCGGTGCTGCACACAGACAGCTGGTGTGATCAGCTCTGAAAAGCATTGATCACAATTTGCAGATCACATTTTTCATGGAGATTGGCCACGGATTCCTCTTCTGTCGGCATTCTAGGAATCGAAAAAAAAAACTTTGAATGATTCCGTGAAAAACTAACAGTTGGAACCGATTCCAATTGGTGCTCGATGCCCAACCCTACACACTAACTCATCTTGATTGCTTACTTGATCTAGTCTGGAAATCTAGACCAGGGCTAATCAATTCTGGGCCTTGAGGGCAGGCATCCAGCACGTTTTAGTGGTTTCTCTGTTCCAACACACTTGATCCAGTAACTGAGTCACCTGTGCTCATCAGGCTCTGCAGAAGCCTGTTAATCACCTGCTGATTGAAATCAGGTGTGTTGAAGCAGAGTTAAAACCAACATGTGCTGGATACGGTCCTCCAGGCCCAGAATTGAATAGCCCTGATCTAGGCCAACCGCAGTATTGTCACAACGCTTAATGGAAGGTTACCCCGGGGACAGTGAGCCAAAATCGGATTGCCCTTTTTGGGCAATGAGGTTTCTGGCTTTCTGGCTTCTGCTTCTCAAAAAATGTCCAAGTCCAGGAGCTTAGTACCAGGCATGATGTGCAGCAGTGCAGGCTGCATGTGTTGCACAACTCTGGGCAGAACCAGGAGGACATGCAACTACAAAAATGCATAGATCCAGGCTGGAATTATCAGCCTTTATGGCTACTTGTGAGTGCTCGAAATCAGGACCATGAGGAGAAGCAGCCCAGGATGGATAAAGAACCAGGTGGGAATTAACGTTCCTGGGCACACAGTCTCAGTCAAAACTGTGATGAGGAGTGAATCAGGAATGAATTGCTGACAGGATTCATCTTCAAATGTACATTTCCAGCTGCTATCTTAGCATGTCTGGCGGCTAACGTGGTTTCCTCGTGAACGAGCATTGCACGCACTCTCACAGAGTGGTACTGGCTTGAACCTTTTCAAAATAAACATAATTACTACCTTCACATGCAATGGCAGCAAAACATGCTAGATTCAGTCATATGTTTGGAGATGAAAAAACTGGGTGTAGATTTTAAAAACGGTTTAATCTTAAAGGGACTTTACGGAGTTTTGAATTTTTATGCTTGCGATTGCCCCTCAGGCGTAACAACAGCTTCAATAGTAGGCTTGTGCATGAGGCGTGCATGCTGTACGTGCACACTCCTTAACGAAAATAACAGCTGAGACAGTCCCGTGTGTGTGCGTGTGTGTGTGGCCCAGAGGACAGGAGAACGCGCAGCTAATTAATTAAATAATTTGGTTCTGTACCTTTCTCTTCAGCACCGCCGACAAAGGTTTATGATGGGTCAGTCCGTCAGCTTCACAGAGCTTCCCATCCCTTGCATGAAAAATTGTTCCAAAATGAAAGTTGAACCCACATCTTTTTTATCTGTGAATTCAATGCCGTTCGGCGAGTCTCAAATAAAAATTTGGGCATCTTACTGTAAAAAAAAATACCATTAATGTAAAAAATAAACTCTAAATAAATTATGGTCGCATCCAGAATTGAACCTGGATCTTCTGCACGAGAGTCTGACGCTTACCAGATGAGCTAAAGCACCAGTAACATCCATTTTATCTGTAACATTTATATCCTTGATGACAGCTGAAACAACGTTCAAAACGGTTCGGAGCGAAAATGGCTATTTTGTTGCTAATTTGCAGGAAATATCTAGAAGAAAGTAGCCAAAGGTCCTCAGAGATGTAGCTAGGTTCATCACTAGGCGTAAGGAACAGCGACAAAGTCGCTGAGCTGGCACTACCTCACTCTCTGCTGTTAAAGCTACTGATTGAAAATGCTACGGGTGATGCCTGAGCGTGAACGCGCATGAAGCAGCCTGCTCGACCCGAGCATCTCTCTTTTTCTGTGATTTTACAGAAAAACAGACAATCACAGTAAAAATGCCAGGGCTGATTCTACAGGACCAGGGCATTGCAGGAGAATGTATGAAGAAGAAATTTATTATTTCTTTACATGTTTTGGCTGTCAAACTTCCATAATGCCCCTTTAACAAAAAATTATGTAATGTGTCATGGTCGGTGTCGGCGTGAAATGTGCCCCGAGTCTAAAGTCAAAAACAGAAAATGAAGATCAAATTAAAGCACTTTTTTCTGTCGTGGATGGCATCAGGGTGTTCGTGGTGTTCCCGGAGAGAGAGGAACCAAAGGAGAACAAGGGGAGCGAGGACCGATGGGACTGACCGGGCCTCCAGGTAGAGCCATTGGTGAACGAGGACCAGAGGGATCCCCGGGGCCTGCGGGAGAGCCTGGAAAACCAGGAATACCTGGTGTTCCTGGAAGAGCAGGGGAGCTGGGGGAGGCTGGAAGACCTGGAGAGAAGGTGATGAAGAGTGTTTGGGTACTATGACGGTTTTCTCATTTACTAAACATCGCTGCTTGTGTAATGTGTGTGTTCCAGGGAGACAGAGGAGAGAAAGGTGACAAAGGGAACGCTGTAAGTAAAGTCAGACATGCTCATGTGTATTTTACACTTTTTACTCTCAGCTGAAAAGTTCTTGTGTTCCTCAGGGTCCAGTCGGATTAGTAGGACAAGCTGGGCCTCGAGGTGAAAAGGTGAAGTCCCTCTAGCTTTGATGTTTCATGTGACATTAAGCTTGTGATGTTGTATTTAGTCAGAAAAGAAAAAAAAACAACTGCATTTACCTGTGCAGGGAGCTCCTGGTGAGTCGGTTCTGCTCGGTACCCCTGGAGTCAGAGGCCCAGCAGGTGAGAAGGGAGAGCCTGGTGCTTCAGGACCACCAGGAACCAAAGGAGACCGGGTACGATTTACTCAAAATGTCAAATGCACCTTTGCCGCTTGTTTTTTTGCTGTGATTATCTTTATAAACGTGTTCTCCAGGGTTTTGTGGGACTTCGTGGTGAAAAAGGAGACAGAGGGAGCGCTGGAGAAAAAGGACGTGACGGCTCAATGGTGAGAAGTTCCTCGGAACAGATTACAGGACGGCCAAGTGGAAAAAACTACTTAGCATGGTTAAAATGATGAATGTGTTTTGTTCTGCTGAGAGCTAGATACAAGGAAGTATGACTATGCTTTAAGTTAACCTTTGAAAAGTAGCTGTGTACTGAAGCTCCGCTACTCTTGATATTTTCAGAGTGATACTCTTTTCATGAGGGTTGTAGGTGAGTGGGCCGAGCCTTTGTAAGGGACGGGGGAAAGGAGAACCTATTATTTCTAACTGGAAAAGGTCTCAGAGAATCATTTTCATGTGGGACAGGAGCTAAACCTCATTTCAACTTTTTCTCCTTTGGCTGTTGCTGACACAGACTTTATTAGACACTGTTCCTTTAATCTTTTGTTGCAAAACACTCTTATCTATCCACTAGATACCAGGTCATAGACTGCATATAAGCCCACTTCCACACACACACTCATGTTACTGGATGCACACAGATTTTTAAAGGGATACTTAGAACTTTTTCATATTTTTAAATAATTTTCTTGAGTCAGTATGTGCTAAAATGACCCTTTACAGGGTTACTGAAAGACCACCCAGCCTCTATCGCCCACTGTGGCCAGAATGTTGCACTTGCAACTACGAATACTCCATCGATTAATCAAATCTTCTATTTGACGACTTTTCAAGTGAAACAACACTATGGTCTGCTGCTAAAAATATGAAAATAATACAGCAACATTATTAAATGCTCAGTAATATATATCAAATTGGTGTTCCATCTTTCCCAGCTGATATTTATAGTTAATCATTATTTTATAGAATAAAATTACGGGTTGGCAACATAGTTCAGTCCAAATGGTATTCAAATGTAAAAGTGTTTGTGAATTACATGCTACATCAGCTTGCCTTAATTCTGCTGCAGTGTGTGGAGCAGAGTTGTAGCAACAACCAGACTCCAGGTAGCTGCAGCGGCTCTGCCCCACATCACTGCAGACACCCACTCATAAATGGGATGGTGGGCATTTTTCATCTGCTTGTGGAGTTAAGTCATTCACAGCCATCACGTTTTGTCTGAACCACACCTGCTGGTGAAAATGCCACCAGCTAGCTTAGCATTAGCAATCCTGCTCATGTCCTCAGTCTTGATCCCAAACTTGGGACCGTTTCTGCCTTTTTCAATGGTTTCTGTCTTTGCTGGTTTCTCTATTTTCCTCCACAGTTCCTAGATTTCCATGCAGTACGCCAGTTATATGTGTTCAGACTGTGGAGTGCACATTTAACGAAGCTTCGAATCAGTAAAAAACTTAATCAAGGAATGTAATGGATCAAACCATTTGAATCATTAGATGATTTGTTTGGAACATTACAGTTGCCAGTCGGCTCTGTTGGGACTTAGACAAAATTGAGTTAACCTTGGAGCTGCAGTCTGGCTTCAACACATTTCTTGCATTTTTTAGATCATGAACACCGCTGACAGAGGTGGAAAGAGTACTAAAATTTCCTACTTAAGTACGAGTACCAATACTTTGATAATTTTTTACTCAATTACAAGTAAAAGTACTTGCCTACATTTTTACTCAAGTAAAAGTAAAAAGTATCGTAAACAAAATGTACTCAAAGTAAAAGTTACTTAGTTACAATTTTGTCAGCGTAAGGATGGCTACCTCTAAGTAGTGCTAAATCACAACGCCAGTTCACAATTCGCTCATGTGTGTGTGCGCACACACACACACACACACTCAAACACGCACAGCTTGAAGGAGGGATTTCTATCCAATCAGTGAGAACAGGATGTGCACATTGATTGGACGAGGTTTTTCTACGGTTGTTTCAATTGTGATTAAAATTATTCTTTATTTTGAGAAAAAAATATTTTTTTAGATGCCATCAGTATGTGAGGTATTTCAATGTCCTCATGACAAAACTCTAACATGAGACTGTGCTCTAACCTGTCACATAACAAGCTAAATGCAGTCAAACATTTCAGATGGACCGTATGACAGCTGCTAACGTTGGCCCTGCCCTGCTTTACCTCTACATTACAGTACCTTTATCCATGTCCATCCTAGACCTCCTCTCTGACCTTCATGCTTATTTAGAGCAGCTTATTTTTAAAGTTAAAGTTCATCCTTGGTAGTGGGTTCACTCACTCATTTAACCCTTCACCACTGAAACCAGTTTGTTCATTCCAATCCTCCTAAATCAGGGGTGTCAAAGATGCGGCCCGTGGGCCGGATCCGGCCCGCAAGCTGGTTTAATCCGGCCCGCGAGATGGTTGTGTAAACTTTATTTTCATACTTTACAATGTAGACTGAAAATAAACTTATCTTTGTGAGCAAGTTTTCCCTGTAATGAGTATAAATAAAACAAAGCTGCGCTCAAGGCTCACACAAGAACTTGAATCACATCCTGAAGTTGGCCGCCACTCAGGATGTGACTTCTGATGTTGATGTGCTGATGAAAGCTAAAAGATGTAAAGTAAAATGAGTCAAATATACTTTAAGTGCTGCATGAAACTGATCTTGCAATGTGATCTGTAAGCTCTTTGAATCACTAAGGAATGTTTATTTATTGATTTTTTTTTTTTCAAATTTTCAAGTACACTTCAGGTGTTGTACTTGTACTACACTGTCCTCAAGCTCCAGCCTTGTTTTATATTGATTGAATTAAAACAAAGAAAACAATCTGAAGTTATATATTTATTTACCGGTCCGGCCCACCTGGGACTAGATTTCCCTCAATGTGGCCCCTGAGCTAAAATGAGTTTGACACTCCTGTCCTAAATAGTCCTCCAATCATCCAACTGGAATCCTTCCAGGTGTTACTAGAACTAACGGCGTCTCCTCACCAGCGTGAGCCTCCAAACTGTGAAGGTTGGACTCCAAACATGAACTTTAAATTCATGCATTTATCTCCTCTTGTAACACTTTAACATGTTTTAAAAGGCTTATATCATGATAAGTTACACCTCCCAGACCAAAGATAAGAACATTATCGTAGACACTATTAAGACGTCATTATTTATGAAATATGAGTTATTTTCCTGAGCCATTACTGCAGCCAAGATATAAGATGCATGGATTTGATGAAACCACACTTTCTCATGCAGTTCTATATGCGTAACACACACACACGCACGCACATGCACACACAAGCGCGCGCGCACACATGCACACACTGCAGCATGTTAGAATAATTTGAATGACTAATTTAACTACATTGAACTGCTTTAGTAATAATTTAATCTCTTATTCTGGTGTAAAATAAAGAAACAAGCTAAATCATCACATATCTGTGGCATCAAGAAGCATATTCTGAGTTCAAACACAGGGATGGAGCACAATGTTTACACCTGAACAGTATCAGGATGTTTTAAGCCTGCAGGTCTTCTGTTTTATGAGCAAATCGCTGATAATCCGCTTGTTATGAGCGCTAAACGTAATTTTGCCGCTGCCATGCGGAGCGGTAGAGAAACACATTTCAAACACGGAACCGAGTCCGGCTACCGAACCGAGCAGAATTCTGATGACGTCACACCGGTGCGCGAAGGTGCGGGTTCCAACCCACAGGAGAGGAGGGAGAGCGGAGGTAAACAGCGAGTTGATCGACTGATGTCTTTGAGCTAAAGTGTACACCCCCACGGTTTAGACGTGGCGCTCATGCAGGTGTCTCTTTCCGTTCCGACGCTGCTACACGTAATATTTTTAATTTATTAAGCCTATAATTTATTTTTACTCAGTAACGGATATCATTTAAAATGTAGCGAATTACAATTATTTTTTAAAAACTTACTCAAGTAAAAGTAAAAGTACAGCTTTTAAAAACGACTTAAAAAGTATAAATATACAAAAAAGCTACTCAATTACAGTAATGTGAGTAAATGTAATTCGTTACTTTCCACCTCTGACCGCTGATTTGTTTAATGATGAATCACTCCGCTAGACGTGTCAGCTGTTAAATTGACATGTTAAAAAGAGATAGGTTTTGGTTTCGCTTCTACAAACAGACACTAGGGAGTGCTAATAGCAAGCAAAACTGCCTAGTATCCCTTTGATGTATTAAATTCCACATTTGCTGCTGACAACTCAGTTTGCTGCATTTGTGAGACTTATAAAATGATTTCTGTCCCTCCACTTTTTACTTTCACTCATTTTACTTCAGGAGGGGATTCATGTAGCTGTTAGTTAGCAGGCTAGCGCAGTGCTAACGTGGCTCCTCAGGAGAGTTAAAATGTCTAGTTTTGTGGTATTTTAACCAGACATCAAAGGCAGTACAACAGCTACTTGTAATGTGTGCATACTGAGTATTTAACATGGTGAATACCACAGAGCTGCACGATACTCTCTTTTGGCTTTTCCTTGGTGTCACTAAAGTGAGCCGCTGGTCTCAATTAAGTCCTAGTTTGACCCTACCTGTCCTAGTTCACTGCAGCAATTTGGACAAAAACACGGGGCCAACCATCTGTAACAGAAACGCTAATAAACAAAGAGGAATTGAGGACGGACTGCAAAACTTTGGGCATCGCGGTTTCCTGCAGCACCTGATGCACTCGCAGTATTTCCAGGTGTTGTGCAAAGAAAAGTGAGCTTGCTGGCCATGGCGCCGCATGCTTGCTCTATCATGAGAATGTGCATTGTTCAATATAGCCGCAAGTTCATGTAAACAATTAAAAATTTGAGCAAGGAATCTTTTATATTTATTCATTATATATATTTTTTTAATTAATGTACTTCCTAAACTGGTGATATCTCATTCGTTTCAACCAGATGTATGAAGTATATATACTGTCTGTTATTGCATTCATTGATTTCTTTTATGATTAAAATGCTCAGAAGTAGGATACTATCATCAAATTATACCTAATCTCTCTTTAATCAATCAGCCTAAGTAAAATCACAGTAAATATCACAGATTCTCTTTTCTGACTCAATACAAAAAATGTTTCTTTTACAATCATCCATCCATCATCACTTATTCCTCTGCAGGATCACAAGGAGCTGGTGTCTAACTCCAGTAGCCATGGGTGGGAGGTGGGGAACACTCTGGACAGCTCTCCCGCCCATCACGGGGGCACTCAGAGACAAACAACCAGACTCCAATTAACCTGGCATGCATGTTTTTGGTCTGTAGGAAATAAAAATATTCATGCGCACAAGGGGAGAACTTGCAAAGTCTGTGCCGAAAGGCCAAAGCTGGGATTTGAACCAGCAACCTTCTTCCTGCAAGACAACAGTTGCAACACAACGCAGCTCTCACGAGAAAATATCATTAAACTGTAATTATATGGTGCTCAGCTATGGAAAGCTAAACCTTAACATCAAATATCAGCAAAGTTGAAGCTGAATGATATCTAGCAATCAGCAGGGATGATGTCTCGGTCTACAAAGTTTTAAGATTTTTTCTAAATCTTGCTTCAGTCCAGAGATGAAATCAACTGGCATTTTACCTAAAACGAATAAGGAGATTGAGGGATATCCTGGAAGGATCTTTTATCTTTGCGTGATAAAACACATCCTCTGATAGGGAGGCCACTGCCAGAAAAATAGAGGGTACTTTGTGTTTGTGGTTGCTGGCCTGTGAGCAATACGGTTCAAACGGTTTATCCCAAACAAAGCTGGATTTTATTGTTTTGTATATTTAATTTTTAATCTCAGTGAAAAGGCAATGTTAATTAAAGAACACTGTTTTAATGGATGTGTAATTATTAGCTGTGTTGTTGTGACATCTATCAGATATGGTTCAACCTGGTTTGTAATTTCAGGGAGAAGCAGGAGAACCGGGAAAACCTGGTCAGGACGGGAAGCCTGTGAGTGGACGACATCTTGAAAGACGCATTTGTATAGAGAATTCTGCACAATCCCATTAGCATTAAAAACATTGTACATTATTAAATTTCCTCACTGTGCAGTGAACATGTTTCATCTTAAATGGTAAGAAAATATCCACTTGTGATGACCTTTTGGTAGTCTTATGCAGGTCCCATCATAGGACACTTAAGTTTAGTCATAAACCTAAAGGAACATTATTTTGAGCTGTGAAAGCCCAAACATTGTTTGGAAGTCCTGCGTTTCCTGATGAATTGTGTGGTTGTATAAACAGAAAAAAGGAGACGTGAGATGTTAAATACTTCCTCACAGTTTTTATTTTCCCTCCTGTCACGTTGGAGCAGGGCTCAGCAGGGCTCTCTGGTCCTCGAGGCCATCCAGTGAGTAACTTATAACCCAGTCTGCTTTTAGGCTTGATTGGCAGACTTAAACTGGGTTGGCTGCAAGCACAAAGCAATCGGAACTCTTTCCCCCCCTTTTTGTGCCGAGGCTTTATTGATCCTTTTGCAGCTGTGCAGCTAACACCCCACTCTCTCTCTCCCCCTGTGTGTGTCTCATATGTGCCCATTTCTGTGTTTCTCCTCAATTTCAATGCTTTTCTCCTCCCATCTGTCCCCCCACCTCCCTTTCATCTTCCTTCCTTTGACTTTCATCCTCTCCAGGGCTTGCCTGGGTTCCCAGGAGTTCTAGGCAGACCGGTAGGTTCTCTGCTGCTGGCTGGCATGCTTTAGCTCTGCAGGAGGGAGGGTTTGGAAGAACACGTGCCTGTTGTATCAGATACAAGTGAGCGTGGACCAAAGTCATTGAGACGCCCGTGAGCTATTGCTTAAGACATCAAGTGTAGTTTAACAAAGGCAGAAGAAGCTATCATCAGGATGCACACTCTAATGTAAACTCGGGGGCAAATTTAGCTGCTTTAATCCTAATTCATTTGCATTGGAAAACATAATCTGGCAGCCGGGATAAAAGTCAGACTTCCATCATAGAAAATGTGCCCAAAGCATTTGTGTCAAACTCAGGAGTTGGAATCTGAGGTAGAAATTCAAGATCATTTTATAAACATGACTAATTTGTTGGAGGAAAGAGTCAGAAAACATCCTGAGGTGGAGCCCTCACCAGATTCCAGTGTGCACTGGTGTGTGTCAATCCGTCTTTGTGTGTGTGTGTGTGTGCAGGTGGGCATGGGGAGGCTTGGGTGGGACACAGTTGAGTCTGCTTATAGTGCCTGCTGCTCTGCCTGGTGTCTATGTGCTTTATCTTATGTAAAGGCTTCTTATTGCTGACTGTTTAAAATGTCCACAGGTTGTGTCTTGTTTAGTCTGTGTGTGAAACTAGTTGTTACGTTTGTCTATAGGCACACAAATGTAGTATACTCTGTATTTTAAAGTGCTAAACTTAGCCTTAACATATATACATCAATATGTTATTGATAAGAATTGTTGCACATTTTGGGAAAATTTTACCTTCTCTCTTATTGAAATATGCAAGAAAAATCGCACCTCAAATGGAAGTAGAATGCAGTGCAGAAAAGACAGAATGCGGTGAATTCTGCAGCGTTCTGTATGTGTAGTGGGGCAAAAAGTATGTATATTTAGTCAGCCTCCAGTTGTGCAAGTTTTCCCAAGTAAAAAGATGAGAGGCCTGTAATTTTCATCATAGGTATACGTCAACTATGAGACAAAATGGAAAAAATAAAAAAATCCAGAAAATCACATTGTTCTGATTTTTAAAGAATGACACCTGTTGGAACTTGTTATTAGTATCAAAGACACCTGTCCATCACCTCCAACGTCACACTCCAAACTCCAAACTATGGCCAAGACCAAAATACTGTCAAAGGACACCAGAAACAAGATAGTGGACCTGCACCAGGCTGGGACGACTGAATCTGCAAAAGGTAAGCAGACTGGTGTGAAACTGTGGGAGAAATTGGAATACATACAAGACCACTGATAATCTCCCTCGATCAGGGGCTTCACACAAGATCTCACCCCGTGGGGTCAAAATGGTGACAAGAACAGTGAGCAAAAGCCCCAGGCCTTCACGGGGGACCTAGTGAATGACCTGCAGAGAGCTGGGACCAAAGTTGCAAAGGCTACCATCAGTTACACACTACGGCGCCAGGTACTCAAATCCTGCAGTACCAGATGTGACCCCTGCTTAAGCCAGTACATGTGCAGGTCCGTCTGAAGTTTGCTAGAAAGCATTTGGATGATCCAGAAGAGGACTAGGAGAATGTCCTATAGTCAGATGAAACCACAATGGAACATTTTGGTAAAAACTCTACTTGTTGTGTTTGGAGGAGAAAGAATGCCGAGTTGCATCCAAAGTGCACCATACCTACTATAAAGCATGGGGGTGGAAGCATCATGCTTTGGGGTTGTTTTTCTGCAAAGGGACAAGGATGACTGATCCGGTCAAAGGAAAGAATGAATGAGGCCATGTATCATCAGATTTTGAGTGAAAACTTCCTTCCATCAGCAAGGGCACTGAAGATGAAACATGACTAGGCCTTTCAGCATGATAAATATCCCAAACACATCACCTGGGTAACAAAGGAATGGCTTCATAAGAAGCATCCCAATGTACTAGAGTGGCCTAGCCGTTCTCCAGATCTCAACCCCATAGAAAATCTTTGGAGGGAGTTGACAGTCTGTGTTGCCTAGCGACAGCCCCAACACATCACTGCTCTAGAGGAGATCTGCATGGAAGAATGGGCCAAAATACCTGCAGCAGTGTGTGAAAACCTCGTGAAGACTTACAGAAAAAATTTGACCTCTATCATTGCCAACAAAGGGTGTATAACAAAGTATTGAGATGGTCTTTCGTTACTGACGAAAAACATACTTTCCACCATAATTTGCGAAACAATTCTTTAAATATCAGACAGTGTGATTTTCTGGATTCTTTTTTCATTTTGTCTCTCACAGTTGAGGTACACCTATGATGAAAATTACAGACCGCTCTCATCTTTTTAAGTGGGAGAACATGCACCACTGGAGGCTGACTAAACATGTTTTTGCCCCACTGTGTGTGTGTATGTGTCCCTTAAAATCCAATGTCTAAGATTGACTGAGGCTTAACTAAATGACAGATGAGTGTTTTTCTCTAAACTTTCAGGAAGGAAGCCGATTTATTTTCCCAAAATGTTCCTTTAACACGTAGCCTGTGTGCAGATTCCATTTAAACCTCTTTATGACATGACTGCATTTGCCATGACTCACAGGGAAACCCAGGAGAGCCGGGCATGAGGGGGCCAACTGTAAGTACAACATGCATGTAATAAAAGCTTGTCATCAGTAGCGATTAGATGTCTAATTGTTTTCTTTATAACTAGGGTCCCATGGGCCCTAACGGTCTGCCAGGTCCACCAGGTGTGAAGGTGTGTTAACTGCATTTTGTTTACTTTTTGTGTTTTTTGCTCATCGATAAAACTAAAAGCATCTTTTGTTACAGGGTATTCAAGGAGAACCAGGAGTTGGTGTACAGGTAAAAAAAACTGTCTTTTAATCCTTAAATCTAATCATGTAGCAGTCCAGAGCTATTAGAGCTGTTAGAGTCACGAATAATTTAGTTTTTGACTTCCTTTCTGCTCTCTGCAGGGCCCCCCCGGTGCTCAGGGGAGCACAGGTCTGCCAGGACCCCCGGGTCCTCCTGGAGCTGTAGTACGTGTTCCCCCTGTTGTCAACTCCTTTCACATCCTTTCATGGCGTTCACTGAACCTTCTTGGTATGAAATCAAATATGTAGCTATATGGTGCTGTATTTATTTCTCCCTACAGGGTCCACAGGGGCCCCCAGGGCTACCGGGACAGGTGGTGAGTATTTCATTTTATTCTGGCTGTTCCTGTTGGAGTTCAGCAAGGGAATGAGAACTAGTCTGGCCCCGGAGACATTTCAGCTGTACTGAAAATAGGGGGGTAATTAAACAAAGAGGCCAGGACCTCTGCAGCATGCTGCGACTGATAAATAGCAGCTAGACTTTCTGTTTTCTAACCAGTTGAACAAAATAATTCTTGTGTTTTTATAACAGTAATCAATGTAATCTCAGTTTGACTGTTTTTGTCTGGCATTGGCTCTGATCTGCTGTTGGCTGCTGACATAAACACAGTAATTGTACAAGTGGAGACCTCGTTACTGAGAGGAAACTTTACATTTCATTCAAAACCAAACTGAATAAAACCAACTCTGAAAAATGTTTCTTTTTCCGATGTTACTGATCGTATTTGGAGCTTCTGCATTCTTTCCTATGCACAGGTCTTCATTCTCCTACATTGAATGTCTTACAGCCGTGTTTTTTGTTCCTCAGGGTGAAGCTGGTAAACCTGGCGTTCCTGGAAGAGATGGAGTTCCTGGGAAGGAAGGAATACCTGGATTACCAGGAAAACAGGTATAAGTGTAACTTAGATTTTGTGTTCCACGTGTTCCTTTCCCATGCACCCAGTTGTTTCATTAAGTCCTCCTCAGTTATAACATAATGTGATTTGTTCCTCAGGGCATTGCCGGGCCTCCGGGACTGCATGGATTGAAGGGGGAGCAGGGAGACAGCGGCCCTCCAGGGAATGTGAGTCTGTTCCTTCCACTGAGCTGTTGGCTAAAAAATCAAGTGAATGCAGAGGCCTTCATTAGATTTGGGTCTAAATTGACCTGTTTTAGGCAGAAAACAGAAAAATGAATGAGCTTCTTGAAAAGCAACTTTGTGTTTGGACTTTTTCTGGCACCTTTGGTTTAAAATGGCGGAATAGAAATCATGCTTTGGCTTGAAAACCCTCCAATCTGAAAATTATGTACCATAATTTATAAATGCAATGGCAGATTATTTTATTAATGCATCAGGACAACTCCAGGAACAATCCAACTGACAATACTTTAGTTTGCAATTCATGTAAACATTCAAATGATTCATGGACGTCTAGGTAAGAACCGTTTATTTATGTAGATGGTAAGGACTAGTCTCTGGTCTACAGAATAGTGATGGGAATTGTGGCTCTTTTTAGAGAGCCGGTTCTTTTGGCTCAGCTCACCAAAAAGAGCCGGCTCTTTCGGCTCCCAAGTAGCTCCTCAGATTTTCTGTTGCGTAAAGTATATTTATCACCAAAAATAATGCAAAACTATATGTAAAATGATTTACTAATGTAAAAAATGCAATATATCAAATATTTATCATTTATATGGATTTATTAACGGAACACTTTAAGAAATCTCAACTTTCCGACTGCCGTCGCTCATTTTCCCACCGTCTTTGTTGCACTTTCCTCTATAGCGATAGACATGTGGGATAGAAAAGCACCAACGTGAAAACCGGTCAGGGGTGAAAAAGGTTCTGGTCTGGGGTCTCCACAAAAAGATTTCCGTGAGTAGGTGTCATCTCCTGCATTCTAGTTGTTTTTAAATTAACAACTTAAACAAGTTAAGGTTTAAAACGAAATCAGTTATCAACGAAATAAGATCAATATAAAAAAAAACATGAAGTCACATGTCTGGCCTGGTTTGCTTATTTGTTTGGTCTCATTTCAGAAACGTGATGAAACACGAAGCTCTGCTGCTGGAAAAAACAGAACTATAAATAATTCCAGTAATAAATGTTGCTTGTTCATTTTATATTACTGATAATAATAACAGCAGCAGGAGGCTGTGGGCTGAATGAGGATGTAATGATAGCTACCTAGCTGATGGATTTCCTTGACTACAGCTAACTAACCAACACATTCTCACACCCAAAGCTTCGAAAAGTGCAGATGGGTGACCAAGCGTTTGTGGGGAGGCGAGGCGCTGCGCCAGAGCGTCAGTTTCCGACGCCCGCGGTAAAACGCACATTTAACCGACATTTAACCTCTAACCTCTTGCTATTTATCCTTCCCCTTACCCCCATCCTAACCTTAACCCAGTTTCTCATTCTAAACTTCCTGTTAACCGTGTTGGAGAGAGACGTTACAACTAGAAACAAAGTTTTGCTAGAGGCTTAAGGTTAGGATGGGGATGAGGGGAAGGTTAAATAGCAAGAGGGTAAAGGTCACAATTTGGTGAAATCTCCTTTTTTTTGATGATGTCTGAAATGAACTGTTTGTAAGTTAAAAATATGTCGGACACAACACGCCATCCCCCAAAAGCGCTTCCATGACAACAGTCCTTGAGATGATGTAAAGGGGCAAAACATTTGAAACATTATAGAAGATTTAACAAAGATCTGATTCCTCATTCAAGATCTCGGGCTGGGAAAAACATGCTCTGCAGATGCTAACAAAATCATAAAAATCACTGAAAACTTGTCGAATACGTCCAATTCTTGCTTTTAATTTAGGTTATAAAATCCATAATTCAATTCAGTTCAATTCAAAAATACTTTATTAATCCCAGAGGGAAATTGATTGCTGTAGTAGCTCAGAATAATAATAATAATCAAGTCATCAAAGAGTTATTGTATATTACAATGGCTGTTGGCAGGAAGGATCTCCAGTAGCGGTCAGTGCTGCAGCCAAACTGAAGAAGCCTCTGACTGAAGACACTCTCCCGATGTCGGACAGTCTTGTGAAGAGAATGCTCAGGGTTGTCCATCATTTTCTTGATTCTCTGGAGAATCCTTCTTTGCATTATCTCCTCCAGCGGTTCCGAAACTGCAGAATTCAAGTTTTCAATTCAATTCAAGTTTATTTATATAGCGCCAAATCACGACAAGAGTCGTCTCAAGGCACTTCACATAATAAACATTCCAATTCAGGACAGTTCATTAAGTCAGAAAAAAATTTTCCTATATAAGGAACCCAGCATATTGCATCAAGTCACTGACTAGTGTCAGTGACTTTACAGCAATCCTCATACTAAGCAAGCATAAAGCAACAGTGGAGAGGAAAACTCCCTTTTAACAGGAAGAAACCTCCAGAGAATCCCGGCTCAGTATAAGCAGCCATCCTCCACGACTCACTGGGGATCGAGAAGACAGAGCAGACACACACACACACACACACACACACACACACACACACACACACACACACACACACACACACACACACACACACACACACACACACACACACACACACACACACACACACACACACACACACACACACACACACACACACACACACACACACACACACACACCACACACACACACACACACACACACACACACACACGCACGCACGCACGCACGCATGCGCACACACACACACACACGCAAGCAAGCACAAGCGCGCACACACACACACACACACACACACTCTCTCTCTCTCTCTGGCTGAGTCCTTGAAAGGGCTTGGAGTTCCTCCATCTTGTTGGCCAGTGATTTCACATTGTCCATTATGATTGATGGAAGAGATGGTTTCAATTCAATTCAAAAATACTTCATTAATCCCAGAGGGAAATTGATTGCTGTAGTAGCTCAGAATAATAATAATTGAATTTCCTCTTTCTCTATTTTGCTCCCGCTCTGCATCCACGCTTCTTGCGTTTTAGCTCATTTGGGATTTGTGGCTTCACTTGAGGTATTATTTCAGCCTTTCCATTGTTAATCAGCTGCTCCCGATTGTAAACCATCTGTTGCCATGGTTATGCATCGTAACAAATGCTCAAAAAGTGAAAAAAGCTAAAGAAATAGCAGTAAAAATCCTCCAAGCTTCACAACACCAGAAACAGAAAAGCAAAGAGTCCAAAAAAAATACAGTTTTTCTTGAGAAACTGGAAGAAAAAATGTCAAAGAAAAGGCAAAACTTACATATAATCAACAGAGCTACTCCAACATGCAGCCACCCAGAGCAGCCCAGTTCCGGAAAAAAAATAGGTCAAAAAATGACTTTTTATTGCCTTTGAGCAGCTTTAGAGACATATTTATGTTCTAGGGTGGAAGAAATAAATAACACCAAATGAAATGATAAAAAAAAGTTTAAGCCATCAGTCTAATTTCAGACATGTTGGAGAATGAATCAAGTTCTGTTTAATGCAGAACATAATAAAACATTAATAAAAAAAATCCTTAACTTCCAAAAATATTTTAGATGTTTGTTTTATTCTTGCTGATAATAAAAACACCAGCAGGAGGCTGTGGGCTGATTTAGGATTAAATGACCCAGCTGATGGATTTGCTTCACCAACCAGCTAACTACAAACCTCAACCCCTGTGGGACTTTTGTCTCCTCATGTCCATGGTGTCTCTGGAGGGGCAGATGGGAAACAAGATCTCCTGTAACTTAAAAAGAACCAACGCTTCCTCCCAGTTTTACCTCAAGCTGAATTTAACATCAGGTTATAACCATGAAACAAAAGAATAAAGTGTAACTTCTATTTTATATTCCTCTTTGACTCACTCTCTCTTATTAACTTGTCCCTAAATAAAAAACGTCCCACTCTGACAAATTTGGATGCAACGCTGGTGCCGTGGTTAAAAAACAAAACTGCATTTGACTATAAACGATTATGGTGTGCTTCCTCTATGATTCAGTATCGTTCATGTCTGCATTAATTATTTGATTTGTTTTCCTCAGCTCTATTTTACATGTAAACAGCCATGTAAGCACCGAAGATAGCTTTTAATAACAGAGACAGATGGCCTTACGGTCCTTTCACCTTGACACTATTGCAGCAAATAAATACATTAGCTCCAACATCAGCTTATAAACAGACCCAAGGGAGGGAGAGAAAAGACACCCACCTCACTAGAGCTCAGATCAAAATGTGGTGTTTGAGTGCAACACGCCCCAATGTGATCACGTGATCAAATGGACAACCTATGGCCAGCATCACATATTATGCAGGAATCAAGTCAAGAGCATTCCGGCAAGGTAAAAAAATAATAATAATAGTAAATAAAAAGCCGTTTTTGCACATTGTTTTGATAAATGTGTTGCCATGGCAACCGAAAATGCTAAAAAAATTTATAGCACATGTCTCCTGACCAAGTCAGTCATTTTGATGTAATATGTGTGGGGGGTGCATGCTTCTGTTCCAGCCACATTAGCGTATACGGAAAAAGAATAACAAGCATATTGACCGAGGCAGAGTTTACTTTTACTTTTTATTTATTTTTTTTTTTTTTCCCCGTGTCATGTCTGGCTGTGAAGCAAACAGAATGAATGTCTGAATGCTGGAGACAAGCCTTACAGATTTACTCTCAGGTGGAGCATCAAAGTGTCTGCTTTAATGTCACGCCCTAAAACTTTATTGTTGTTTTTTGAATGCTTTATAATTCCGACCAGACACAAAGACAGAGGTGAAAGAGAAAGGAAGAAACAAAAGGAAATGGGGGTTCTGCAAAAATAAACAATCAATGTGAGCAAGAGTCTGCATCTAGAACTGCAGAAAGAGATGAAAACAAAATAATAATGATGATAATAAGGGACACTACAACTGCATCAACCTGATGAGGATGACATCATAAAGGAACATTCTACCCTTTGATTATGTCATTTGCCAAGTAAGCTGGCTGACACACCACTCATTACAGAATAGTCATTGAACAAGTCACACATCAGAGAAGCTCTCATCATTTATACGTTTTTCATAAACCTTCCAGATCAGCAGAATGGATCAGGACTCTGACCACATTATTCTGAAGGATATATT